AAAAGAAATTTACGTGTCCTACACTCACATCTCGCAATGAGGCAGAAAGGGGTCCATTGCATGAGTATAAAAATATTTAAGTCTGCATGATTATTTAACTGATTTAGTACATTATAAAAAACAGTTTATAAAAGAAATAAGGGATGTCCTAATACATAATCCGTCATATACTGTTGATGAATTTTTGCTCTTCTGTCTGGATCATCAGCTAAGGGATAGAAGGGGAGTACATGCTGACTGATGGATGTTCCACAGTAGGCATCAATATAGACATTAAGTGTAAATATAATCTGTATTTTATGTATTTATTTAGATGCACGTTGTTTGCATTTATGTTTGTTTGTTATTGTGATATGGCATGTTGGAATTGTAAAGATGTATTGTTGTTTGTAAAGTTTGTGACATGTTTCATATTCAGTGCAGATTGCACTAATGAATATCTTGAAACGCAGATGTATGTAGTATGTATGTATGTACGTATATATATTAGGGCACTCAACTGTGGAAATATTTCCTTTGTTAGACCATATGCATTTACATATGTCATTCTTCTAGATTAAAAGAAATGTGTAAATTACTGCAAATAACAGACAATTTGAATGCCGATACACTTGTCATTTTTATATTTCCTCCATTGTTATCTCTTACTCCTGGGGATACATGATGTACCATTATCTGTGTTTAATTCATCAGAGGTCCTCACTACCTCTGAAGGCAAGTGATGTATTCAAGTGAAACAGCCTCTCCATATCTCACACCTGTGTTCATGTTGAATAAATTCAATCTAATATTCTGTGTATAAAACACAATGAATCTAGATATTAGTGTCAATAAAATATTTCACCATACATTGGTATCATGTGTAATTAACCCTTTAAAGCCCAGTGGTTAATATATGGACCACTGCTTTAACATACCAACACTCTGCATTCTGCCCACAGAGCATATGTGTGTGTTCCATGTGGTTCTCACCATAAAGAGCAGCTGTTTCCATTAACAACATTAACTGGTTGGTCTTTGTAGTGGAGACATAATGTGTTTCCTGTCAGATACAAACTGAATTTGTGTACATTACTTAGAAGAAATTCAGTCTTTAGAAGGTTAATGGTAGGAGTTTCTTGACCAGTGTTAAGGATGATAGTCATAATGATGGTAGGGGTGAATTACAGAAGTGAGTCCTGCTGGAAAATCTGGAGAAACTCGGAGATAGCAGCCTGAACCACTATTTCCACTGTTGTGAGACTGGGCATGTCACAGAGGCCATATGAAGACTAACAAATTTCGTAACTATGACAGAAACACATGAACAGAAAAACTTACATAAAAGGGAACATGTATTAACTAAATAACCAACAGACTTCATGAAGAATGGTTCTTCTTGAAAAGCTAATAGCTGCTCAGTTAGTCAAGAAATTCCTCTTCCTTTATGGAACCTGAAAATCCAGTACCATATTCACAAGAGCCTACCACTGGATCCTATCCTCAGCCACTTGAATCCAGTTCATTTCAAGGCTTATTCCTTTAATATTTATTTTACTATCTTCCTCACATTTGCATTGCATCCCTCAAGCAATCGCTTTCCTCCATGCAGGGATTCCATGAGGACCTTTTCTGATGGGGGCTGCCAGTTTTCCAAAGGAGGAAGAGCCAGCCAGAATATTTGCTTACAAATTTACATTTCAACTGTTTAGTCACTGCCTTAAAGAATTAATGACAGAATAAATTAAAAAAATTCATTTTTCAATTTTGATTTTTCCAAATACACACAGGAGCAAAAGCANAAAGCCCCCCCCCCCCCCGCCCCCAAATCACACTGGTCCTCTTGCTCCCATATTTGCTATATATGTTTCCACCATTAATTTGAAACTAAGGACTTAAAGGAAAGGAAATTTAGCACTGCAGTAATAAGAGAAATGAAGGAAGGCAATAAGAGGCACTAGGAATTTACAGTGTATACAGATGGGAAAGCCAAAAGATGAAAGAAACTTCTGGAGTAGTGATGTTAGTTGATATGAATGTACAAGTATATTTCAAAGTTCTAAGATAAAAATGTTTGCTTAGATATTTATCACTACTGTATGATTGTGTTATGAATGAAGGCTGAGTAAGACTGTATCCTGTATTAAAAAGAAATTAATATTATAGATAAATCTCATGATAACAAGTTTGTCATATTGAAGTGGTATGGGATTTTCCTCAGTATATTGAAAACAATACTAATACCTCATAAGACTGTTCACCTTGGATGGAAGGAGCATGTAGCGGTAGTCCTTTTTTATATTGCAGAATTAAATAATAATTTGTTCAGAACTTTGTAAACATGATAACTGTATTCTTCCATTCAAGGTAAAAGTAAAGGTAAAGCTATCCCTGTAACAGGCCATGAAGGCCCATAGGGTTGTGAGATGTCAATGCTCCCACATTTTCTTTAGACAGTCAGCTCACAGATGGCAGTGAGCTTGTTGGCCTTAAGTGCCCGCTGCCCTTTACCCCCCACCCCCCCAGGAAGATTCCTAGTACTCATTTCTGTTAGAGGCCGAGACGACACCAGGGCCATAGTATGCCTGGAGTGATTAGGTAAATTGAAAAAGTGCACCTCATTGGGACTTGAACCCATGACCTTCCAGCTTGTAGCATAGTTGATTGAGGCACTGTGCTACAAGCTGGAAGGTCATGGGTTCAAGTCCCAATGAGGTGGACTTTTTCAATTTACCTAATCACTCCAGGCATACTATGGCCCTGGTGTTGTCTCGGCCTCTAACAGAAATGAGTACTAGGAATCTTCCTGGGGGGGTGGGGGGTGGTAAAGGGCAGCGGGCACTTAAGGCCAACAAGCTCACTGTCATCTGTGAGCTGACTGTCTAAAGAAAATGTGGGAGCATTGACATCTCACAACCCTATGGGCCTTCATGGCCTGTTACAGGGATAGCTTTACCTTTACTTTTACCTTGAATGGAAGAATACAGTTATCATGTTTACAAAGTTGTGAACAAATTATTATTTAATTCTGCAATATAAAAAAAGGACTACCATTCAAAATCTTAAACAGAAACATTTTCTGGGTGAATACACAACAAATTTTCCATTTATATACTTCATGTGAATAATCTACCAGTGAAGTGTTTCTTTTATACCTATATCTGATGCAGTATCACTTCAGTTTTCAGTTCCCAAGAATAATAAAAATACTGTTGAATTAAGAAACAGTTTGTTTGGAACAAAATTTTATTCTTGCAAATGCGCTCTTACAAATTTCAATTCATGTATAGTCTTTAGATACTTTCACGTTGATAGAAACATATTTCCTATGTCAAGTACTTAAAGAGGAAACATGTCAATATGAATGACAGATTCCAGTTTAGAACTCAGAATGACAAGTTCTACATAACTACAAACTCACAGTAGTGAACAAACCTACAAGAAACTAACAAAGAATTTTGTGCATAACAAAACTCAAAACATTTTCTTTTTCTAATTTCTCTGTGGTCTCCATACTTCTCATCTGAATCCTTGCATGACCCTGATCTACTTAAAGGCTAACTAACCACTTACACTTACCGATAACTAGCCAACCAGTTACAATCACACTGACCCATAAGATAAGATACAGGACTGAATCTGGGTTTTGAGTTTAGACTGCAGCCCATACCATATATAAAATACTAGATATTTTCACAAATACCATCAGAATTAGGAATTAGATCTCATAATCATCTTCATGTTTATTCTTAAGCAACCTTTCAGAAAGGTCTATTTTGAGAAATAAAACTCTGCTTTATATTCGAATTTTATTTTGTGTATTACTGTCTTAAGTACACATGCACTAAGGAAGCAAGTAACCGCCATTTCACTATCTTCCATATTTTTAAATTCATTATACAACTAACTGGGAGTGTCACTAACAATTCAACACTATTGCACTTGAGTTGTACTGAGCTACATTCTTCAAACATGAATCAGGTTCCTGTTGTTTTCTTTAGTCCCTGCATATGAAAACTATGATAACGTCTTGAAGCAGGACAAAATCACTTCATTGTCAGTCCTTTCCACTTCATTGTCTTCAACAGAATTACTAAATAACCATGAGATGATCATCTGCACAGATGCTTGAAGTAACTATGTTTTGTATAGAAGTTTTACTTTATGAGTTTCATTTTTCCAAATTTATATGCATATGTGGAAAAATCCATTTAGACCTCAGTTTTAGGTATTCTTGACTATGGACTGGAGGCTTTAATTTTCCGATCATGAGCTGACTGAGGACCTTAATGACATGATCTACTTCGTTGTATTTTCATAGCTATGCATATTAAATCAGGGGCAGTTCAAGAATGTTAATGTTATTCTGGTTGATGTCTATGTTTAAATCCAGTCTGATTAAATTCAGCAATACCTAGCATGTCTTTCCTGTTTGTTAACTTTTATATCCAGTATGAATTGAGTCAGGATAACGCAGTATGTATAGCATTTATGACCTGGTCTACACTACACAGAGTGATAAAAAAAGTCATACTCTTGAAGGTTTAAACAAGCCAAACAGCTGGCAGGTTTCTCAAAGCCATGCAGTCAATAATGCATTGGACTGTTTCAGTGTAACCACACACATATGTGTATATTTTGCAGGCTCTGCTGTTATGTGAAAGGCAAAATGATGATTCAACTTGCGTGACTTTTAGATCACTGTGTATAAATCCCTCTATACATCCCCACTCCCCTTTCTTCAGCAGATGTACCCATTACGCTGATGGCCTTAAATCTATGAAATCAGAAAGTAACAGTGTTTTGGCAATGAATTCCACTTCAGATTAAACAGATATCACGATGTAAACAATGTCCCCGGAAAAACCAATCTTGCCTAAGATTGCAGGTTTATGACGCAAAGAAAGAAAGAAAGAGAAAAACATATCAGAGAGAACATGATTTTCCAATTGAATGAGAAAGCTATATAGAGTGAGCCTTAATAACATACGTTAAACATGATCACCTTATTCAACACTTACAGACAAGCAGAAAAGTTCGCAAATGATTTGTTAGCGAGATGCAGCAACACTGCATATGGCAGCTACAAGTTAGCACCGGAAAACCGGTAAAAGCTATCACTATAACAGGTTGTGGAGGCCACAGAGTTGTGAGACGTCGAGGCTCCCATATTACCTAGAAAATCGGCTAACAGATGGAGGTGAGGGTGTCAGCCCTATGTGCCTGCCGCCTTTTACCCCTAGGAAGATTCCCGGTGCTCATTTCCGTTACAGGTTGAGTTCACTCCAGGCTCTTGGTGCGCCTAGAAGGATTAGGTCAATTGAAAAATCCAATGACCCCATCGGGAATCGAAACCGTGACCTTCCACCTTATAGTATAGTGCCTCAACCAACTACACTATTCAGTCCACAGATTCTTTCGAGGTGACTATTACTGATATTCTGCCATTCAGTAAGGTAGATACGTATTGAATAATAATAACACGTAATGCAGAGTATTCATTCGGCGAATTGTGAGACATGATATTACTACATGGTGAAGCGAAGCAATTACATCATCTAAGCGGGATTCATTTTTCTAGCATGTCGTCCGCGAGAAACAGGTCATAAGCGGGCTGATATAAGAAATGCTGGTAGCCCACGCAGTCGCAGGAATTCCAATGTGGCAGATGTTCCGCGTGCCACAGAACGATACCCTGGAACAAATACTATGCGGTCAGCCCATTGTCACCACCTTTTCCAGTGAGCACGTCTCATTACCAGCTGTCGTATTTGTTCCACGTACAGCAACTGCCGCTGGAAAAGCGCCCTGAGAAAGGTTACTGCACCGGGAAGCACTGTCTCCAGCCTCTCTCGGCCGAGTGCTGTTGATGCATATAGCATGATGCTTCACACCGAATGGGGTTTTAAATATTCGTAACCCGCACACATGGGTTCATGAAAATCCTCAATAAAAGTACTGCAGTAGCATTTTGCATTAAACATTTATACAGGATTAACTGGTTATCTCCTCCTACGTCCTTATGAGCTACGAGCCGGAAGGTCACAGGTTCGATTCCCAATGATGTCACTTAATTTTTCAATTTACCCAAACCTTCCAGCCGCACCATTACCCTGGAGTCGACTCAGCCTCTAACAGAAATGAGTACCAGGAATCTTCCTGCGGAGTTTAAGGGCGGCCGACGCTTAAGTCCGACCTCCCCGCAAACTGTGAACCAATTGTCTAGAAAATATGGGACCCTCGACGTTTCACAAACCTATGGGCCTCCGCAGCTTGTTACAGGTATAGCTTTACCTTTACCTCCTGCTTGTCTATAAGTATAGAACACAGTGATTATATTTAAGGTATGTGGTTAAGACACACCCTGATATGAACTGCAGTATGCTGTTATCTGCACAGTGTTCAGAGACTTGAATATAGATATTGTGACATGTTGCGCAACGGAGGACCCCTACCTCCCCAGCGGCACGTGGCGGTAACGTAGCGCTCTCGTTACTACTTGTCGCGCTATGCAGGACACCACTCCCCCCCCCCGGCGGCGGTGACGTGCCGAGCGGAGCCGAAGTGAGCCGAAGCGAGCCGAATCCCAGCGCACTGGTCGCTATGCAACGCGGATAAACGGTGGTTGCGATAGACGACCCTAGCAACAGTGAAACCCCGCAGCTGTGTGATAATTAATTGTAGCCGTTACTTGTAGGTTGTTAAATAAACCAGTTAACAATCTGTACGGCGTCTTCAGTAACAGAAACACGTTACACTGGTGTCAGAAATGGGATTTGGACTTACACACGTGACCGACGAGATTCGAACTTAAGACCCGTTACACTGGTGTCAGAAGTGTTTTACGAACTTAAACACGCCACAAACAAATTGTTGTGAATCAAGTATCTTACTGCTACAAAATGGAGATACAGCAGATGATGGAACTTCTACTGAAGGAAATCAGAGACAACCAAGAAATGTTCCGAAACCATCAAGTAGAGATGAGGGCAAACCAAATAAAAGCAGATGCCGACCGAGTGCACATGCAAGAAATGTTCCGCACCCATCAAGAAAAGGCGGAAGAAATTAGAAAAAAAAGACAGAGAAGATTTCTTGGCGAAATTAGAATTCAATCAAGAAAAAGCAAATATCATGCTGGCAAAATTATACGCCGACGGGAAAACTGATAAAGACGATATGCTGAAAGAGTTGAAGGCCATGCAAGAAAATAGGAAGACAGACAAAGAAGGTTTAATATCCAAATTAGACGCCAATCAAGAAAAGGCGGTTGCAGACAAGGAAGAAATGAAGGCAGAAATGCGATCTATGCGGTCAGAGTTGAATGAGACAGTCCAACATAAAATTGAAAACATTTTTGCGATCTTTGAACACGACAAACAGACTCTCCGGTCAGAAATAACTGAGCAGATTGAAGTGTCCCTCTGTGCGCGGACAGATAAACTCCAGGAAAACCTGACGAAAAACTACAACGAAACCTGCGCAGCAATTGACGAAACCAAACTCGAGTCTCAGGCCCGGTTGGACATAGTGCAAATGAAGGTCGAGCGGGGAAATACGTCAACGATCGTCACGAGCACAGCTCAGCCACCGACATTCAACGGGAATTCAACGTGGAGCGTGTTCCGGCGACAATTCGAGACCGTGGCAGAACATAACCAATGGTCGGACAGGGAAAAATCAACATACATGATCACCGCTCTGAAGGGCCGGGCAGCATAAGTTCTACCCGGAATTCCGGCAAATACCACTTACGAGGAAACTCTTCAGGCTCTAGAGGACCGTTTCGGGGACCAACACTTTGCAGCTGCTTACCACTGCCAATTAAGAACGAGGACGCAGACACCTGGAGAATCCCTGCAAGACTTTGCCACGGCCATTGAACTCCTTTCCCATCATGCCTACCCCAATCTACCTACTGACCACATAGGAAGAGACGCAGGAAAAGCCTTCGTATACGGAATATGAGATGCCGATATAAAGATCCAGCTGCTGCTGGGAGGGGAGAAGACGGTAAACGAGGCCCTACAGCCTCTAACTTCCTTAAGTTTTATGGCTCACCCCTTATACTCATACTCATACTCATACTCTGTCTTCCACTAGTTGTCTCCTAGCAATGATTCTCCACACAGAAACTGTCACTTCAAATCACTATACATATTACACATAATTGAGGTCTTCAATCACCCTTTAATTCTTCACAGGTCTTCTACAAACTTCCTGTTGCTGTTACTTAAACACATTCAAACACTCTCAAATACTCCCAAATACTGAAATATGTTCCATGTCCAAGTCACATTGTGACTGGCGGTCAGTCAGTCAGTAAGTCTTGGTGTCGAGCCCCATCTGGGGCTCATAACCAGATATCTATTACTGTTTCACACTTATGGTCTTGTTTCTGTGGGGTGCCCTCTCTGATGAGAGGACAGTCTGTCTTTTATATATGCTGCTGGCCTTTGCCAGCGCAGTGTTTCTTGGGTCCGAGTCCCTTGGGACTTGCGACCATATTTTACTGTCTCAGATGTGAGACTTACCTTTTGGTTATATATGAGACAACTCCGTCTTAAGTGCAACAATTTAATTGTAGTTCTTTCTTCTTCCCTTCCTCCCACACTACATGTTTCGGCCCTAAATGGCCATCATCAGGTGTGTATTCTTACATAGCTGCTACACTGCCCGTAGTTTAAAATTTAAAATCGCCAGTCTTTCCAATTGTATGTATGTATAAAATCTTTGTCAACCTACACGCATCAATTTGATTTCTAAAATTGGCACTTTTTTAAAACTTCAATTCAAATTAAAATGTCTATAAATTTTCTGTTCTTTTTCTTTTTCCAAATTTTTAAAATTTAAAATTTTCTCGGGGTACACGCCGTATGTCTATAGTGCTGCAGTGGCCACTTCTTGTTTTATCGCTGTTCAGGTATTGTTCTGTGTAGGCTCTCTCTGTGTGTGTCGCTGCTTATCTTTAATACGTGTAGTGTGGGAGGAAGGGAAGAAGAAAGAACTACAATTAAATTGTTGCACTTAAGATGGAGTTGTCTCATATATATTGTGTGAGTGTAACAGGATGCTTAAATATAATATTACCTTTTCGTCACCTCCTATGACTCACAGGGTCATGGTGGAGGTATTCAACCCCGCCTCCACACGGGGTTGAAATAAGTTCTGTCTGTAACTGTTGTTATATAGCTTCCCCACTGACCACGCAGAAAACAGCTTATATTGTTAGGAAATTTTTACTGAGCATTGCATACCAACTGCATTTCAGTTCACAAAGGTATGTCTGACTCGTGCACATTCACACTACGCAGTCCTGACCAGTGTCTGGTGTTTAGAAATTAAACACAGTCGTAGAAGGTGAGTGACAAAACTACCTCCAGCCTGAACACACTCACATGTCTGATCACTGCAACATTTCACTATGGTCTACTACGGCTGTGACTGCGTCGTTGATAACAGACGTTTCGTATTGTCGTGTGCTGAATTTGTGCTTCCTTTGCAAGCTCAAGTCTGCTGTGGATGAATATACTGAAAAACAAAAGCTATTTGTTCTTCCAAACATCGACTGCAAACTCGTTAACCTGCACTGACTATGAACTACAGACTAAAGTGGTGGGAAACACTGTTGCAACTCCAGTGGCACATATTGTGAAGGTCTTTAATTATGGTGTATTTTTCAATACCAGCACATCGTACACTTTCTAACCACTAAAATCTTACGTTCAGACACTTCTTAGCCAATTGTTGAACCTCGTTCCCCTTTCACGCCTGTAGAAGTCGGCAGCCATATGGTAGCCTCAAAAACAGAGTGCAGCCCACAGTGCCAACCTGTAATTTTCAGTTATACCTTGTTTTGCGAGACCGCCTGTGTGGTCTAGTGGTCAGAGTTCCTGGGTACAGATCCAGAGAACCCAGGTTCGATTCCCGGCCCTACCAGATTTCTGAGGATAAATGAGGAACTCTTTCAAGGAAACAGCGGCTCCGGTCTAGAAAATTTGCACTAACTTTGCCGACAGGTGGCTGTCGCTTGGTCAGTATAGTTCGCTTGCGGGCTACAGGCCACGAAGTTTTATCTTGTTTTACAACGTCATGGAGCACATAACACAGTGCCAACATGGATTTTGCTTGGACACTGTGGCAGCAATGTAGGAGGGATAATAAGGAGCATTCATCCTTGTCGATATGGCAGTTTCTGGTGATCTTAATAGTCTCTCTTCTAGTAAATTCTAAAGGGTTCTGACGATTGTGCATAACACACAGAACACACATTGATACTCATCCACTTGGTTTTGTTGTCTAGGTTCGAACACAAATTTTCTACCTCCTTTTCTATCCTAGTTCCACACATGTGCATGCAATATCACAATTTTTATTTTTGTGGTTTCTTGCTATCTTCGGCTGAACTAGCCTAGTCTTATATGTTGAAATAGCTGGGTAAATCTGACAGGAGTTGTCCAGTGATTGAGATTAGCTCTTTCTAAGGGGCCCAACTGAGCAAGTATCTTCCTTCCTCACCTGAAGACGGAAACAGATCCAGTTTCCGAAAGTCATGTTTTCTATTTCCTAGAATTCCGGACGATGGAAAAAGTCCAAAAACCAAGTAATTCTGTTAGTCTCTCTTCTGCTAGATGATATTTTGAAATTATATTTCCTGTAAGTTCCACTTGTAATTCCATCCTGGGAATGCTGCCATCTTTTTTTTTTTTTTTTGTAAAGTAAATGTAAATTCAGACAACGGATATCAATCAAATGGTACTTTTAATGGTAGTTTTGGTCTTTTCATGCTGCAATAGCTTGTCAAGCAAGCATCACTGCGGTGCACCCCTCCCGTCTCATAATTATAATCAATGACTACTATGGATTTCTCTATGTCTTGCCCTGAATCCTACCTAGAACCATTTTATTATGAGCGGTACTTATGAGCCAAAAGTATTTTTTGTTTTCCACTTCATTATCATTAGTCTGTCTTTGCAGACTGAAACATATTCTCCCTTTTACAGTTTTGCGCTCTTTATTTCAGCAAGAACAGTGTTCCTGTTTTGATGCTACACAAGCATGTGGAATAGACCTGGGCTTGAAAACTAGTTGTCCATGATTACACAGTGTCCCTGATTCAGGAGAGGCCTCATTAGTTGTGAAACTACTTGGGAGCCATATGGCTAATTTTTATGGACTCATACAAAACAGAATCCTGTCCAGTGTAAATAATAAAATTCCATATGTAACCAGATTTGACTGCACACAATTCAAATTACTTTATACCAAATATAACACGTTTTGATGGAATGTATGCCTTCCATGGCACATCATCAAAGACTCATCTACTGACATATCGCACATAGGTAAGGTAAAGGTAAAAATATTTCTGTAACAGTATGTAGAGGCCCATAGGGGTTGTGAGACATTTAGGCTCACACATATTCTCTAGACAATCGGCTCACAGATGGCGGTAAAGTTGCCAGCCTCATGCTCNCCCTTTAACCCCCCCCCCCCAGGAAGATTCCTGGTATTCATTTCTGTTAGAGGCTGAGTGAACTCCAGGGCCATAGTGCGTACACTCCTATATTTGGCATTTTGGTGATCCAGTATGTGTTTGAGTTTACACAATTTTGGGGGGAAATGATAAAGTGGCCTCATCGTAACTTTTCTTTTTAACACAACGAAGGACAAGTAGAAGGTGAAACCTCCTCTCACTGATCAGGTCAAAAAATATGAGTGTTTTCAGAATTTTCCTCCAGAAAAAATACCGTTTATGTTCGTTTTCTCCCAGTGATGGGTCCTAGATCTTAGTTTTTGATTAGACGTGTTTCCTAAAAATTTGGGGGTATACCACTTTTTTTCTCTGGCCATAACTCCCGCTATTTCTGGTGTATTAAACGACTCAAAATCTTCAGAAGGGGGGGGTTACCAGGGGTCTTCTAAATCAACATTATGGCAGATGTGCCAGTAAATGGAAAACGTGGTCATTCAGCCCTTGACTTGGTCCATATGCCATGCTGCATGCTACTGCTGTCACTGAAATTTTGTTCTTCATCAGAGCTGACATTCTGTTTATCGCTAGACGAAATGTTCATATTTATTTCACTGTCACTAATACATTTGGTCTCAGAAATATCACTACATTAATTCTCTTGCATCAGTTCATATAACACCTCATTACTCATGTGCATATTCTTTCTAGGACCTGCCATAACGTTTACTCACAAAAACTCGAACCCAGGACAGCAATCAAGCACTCAGCACCTTCCTGACACTCCTGACACACACAAGTAACTAGAAGCTCTAGCAAGTACAGCGTACAAATTTGCATCACTGACTGCAATTTATCTACAACAGTGTAGTCAGAAACGTGCATGGTTTGTAGAGAAGTCATACACATCACACTACAGAGTCCATGAGAAGCTAACAGTCGCACAGATAGTCAAGACATTGCCTATATTTTACATTTACATTTATTTCACTTCATGGATCCAGTCACCTCCCTGTAGGGCTAGATATAAAACATGTCACACATTACAAATTCATGATGACTACACATCATACGTCCTTGGCCCAATAAAGTACATAATCAGGCCTCATGCAGACAGCACAAGTTGTCAAGACAACACACATAGGCCGTGGAAAACCCACTGTCACATTCGAACCTGAACAAAATCCCTCATATTTCCAATCATAACAACTCTATGCTGTGCAATTAAACACCATGCCATTCCACATCCATTGGCCAGCCCTATCATCAATACAGTTTCATTGTAACATATTAAAACTCATAACAAACACAGACATCATACATACTGCCACACTTACAACAAGCAAGTCTCAACAACGTATATGGAACCTGGAGGTTCATTATCATGTTTAGTGGAGTTTGTCTCTGGTCTCTAACCTGCACCACACGAGTCTAGGCCAAACCCTCACACTGCATTTCATTATGATCCATTGGCCTCCCATCTGTGCCTCTTTGCTCTGAAAATGGTGGTAATGCAGATCACAAAAAAAGTAATTTGTTTTAAAATGTCATATCATGACCCGTATTACACTCCGCTGTCTGCAAAATGTGAACAAGATCTGGAGCAACCTCACACCTGAATTTTTATGCCAGACCTCCTGGATTCCCCAGTGAATAACCAGAGAGTCATACATATAGACAGACACTGGGAAAAGTAAGAAACGGAAAAGGCGCAAATGCATTCATGGTGATCACAATGTGCAATTCTGCAGCAAGGAACAGGCATCTGGTTCCAGAATGGATGACTGAGATTTTGTTTGTTTGGATTTTTCTCTTTGTAACTTAGAATACATCAGCTTCTTGTTACATGCACTGAGAACACCTAAAGATTAAATGATTTCAATATGACACTGAAAGAAAAGAGCAGTGAAGGAAGGGGTAAACCATTGCACAGTCCTAAGGTCCACCTCCATATCATGTTCAATTACTGTTTGGCGTCACCTCAGTAAAATGAATAACAAGAACATCAGTAAACACAATTGTAATGGGTCCCAGTAAGCACATATTAAAACCAATTAGTGAAATATAATGCTATGATTTAGGACCTTAATGCATGCAGTAAACTCCTACAAGTAATTCCTTACACAACAACCATATAGATTAGGCCAATAATAAAACAGAATAAATAATGACAAAAGACACTCTGAAATACTTTAAGTAATGCCTGTGGGAAGGAAGTGCCGGCTGCTTAACAGAAACAGCTTACAGAATACACCAGAGGCTGAAAACATATAGAACTCACCGGCTGAACGTAATTTGTACCTGGAACTGCTCAGTAAAATCATAGAACTAAGACCAATGGACAAAGGGAAGGGTAAGAATGTAAAACGCCTAGGTGCAGGTGCATACAGTAGGGCAAATGTCAGGGTGTATGGGATGGTGTGACAGCAACTGGGTTGGTGGCATGGCTGAAACATAAAGCTCACCATTATCCATTGGCATTAACAGTGCTTCATTTCTAGAAAGTACCAGATATATGATAAATTACTGTGAAAGATATTTTTATGCTCTTGTTTAGTCTGTGTACCAGGTCTTGAGGTAGTGTGAGATTGCTCCATCCCAATTAATCATTCAGAATCATGAAGTCATCTCTCATTTAACAATGATATGGGCATCTGCTGTTGTAATTCAAAAGCTGCTCAGAAAGGGTGGGTCATAGCAATTTGGCCCCTGCACTGCAACCATCACTGATCTGTTGTGCTTAACCTGCTCAGAAAATAACATTTCATCCTGCACTTCTCATTTCCATTTAAGAATGATGAACAGTTCAATGATTAAAATTGGTATATATTCATTAATTAATTCTTATGACTGGAATTTCAATTAAGTCCTTAATCAGAATATTCTGCTTTACATGCATGTAATGTGGTTTAAAAAATGTTGAATTTAAAATGAAGTTCTGCACAACAATAATGGCTATTTTTTAAATGGAGCATCCTCTCAGACAATGACTATGTCAACCATACATTGGTTTGATGTAAGTGGTCTGTTTTCCCAGTTTCACAATAGTGCTGACCTGCAGGTTTCTGATGAATGATGTGTCTACCCCAACACTTAAGTTAATCCTCCTTTGGAAATGATAAAGCCATATCAAGATAAGGTGTTAGATATATATACACACTGCAACAGGCTGTGTATTCGTCCGGTTCCACCACAGCCCTATACACCATGATGTCACTAGTATTCATCTTTGGTCTCCTGGCTGGAGCTGCACAGGTATTTAATTAAAAAATGAATTTACATTATTTTCTGTCGAAATTCAGCTCTCCATCAATTTAGCTTTTGGAGTTTGTATTAAATTAACAGCATAAATTGCCCAGTATACACAGAGATTTGAACCAAAATCAGGGGTCAGTTTATGGACAGACAGAATTTGGTATTGTGGTAGAAGAAATTAATAACATGCATATAAGAATAATTTATTCCTCTTCAGTAATTCTGTCTTTGAGTGTCTTCATTATATTAAATACAACAAAAAATCAAAACAATATTTAGGTGAAAAGGAAATTTGGCATGAATAACCTCTATTATGTACAGGAGTTCGACAAAATAATAAAATCACTACAGATAATGTGCACATTTCTTTATTAATACGGTGATGGACCACTTTTGCCTTCAATACAGCCGCAGTCATTCTTGGAATGGACTCATGCAAGTTTTTAACAGTCTTGAGAGGAATTTTATATCATTCTTGAAGAACATCTTCAAATTGCTTTAGACATGTTGGAGGTAGGAATCTGTTCCTCACTATAGCGTCCAAAACTGACAGGAGCGGTTCATTGGTGTTCAGATGTGGTGATTGTGCTGGTCAGGGATGATGTTTAAGTTCACATTCATGCTCTTCAAACCATGACCAGCTGTATGAATTGGGGCACTGTCATCTCAGAAAAGTGCATCGTTGTTCAGAAATAACGTCTGGATCATGGGATGTACCTAACCCAACCTGTCCACATACCCCCTTGCAGTAATTCGGCCATGAGGAGTAATAGTGAGACCAACAGGATACTGTACCATGATATTGCTGTCAAAATCATCACAGAACCTGCCCACGATTTCATTGTTGGAACCAGGCATTCCAGATGGTAGGCTTCCTTGGGTGTTCTCCAAGCGTAAACTCTTCCTGATGTAGGGAACAGTGTGAAGCATGACTCATCTGACCACATCACGCACACACTTCAGTTGTCTGATATCCAGGTTTTATGGTCATGACACCACCGTTTACACATCTGAGCATTACTTTAGGCAATCAGGCAATTAGCAACTGCAGCACTGCCATGTATATTGGATTTGTGAAGCTCACATCACATCGGACAGTTTTTGTAGGAACAGGGTCTTTAAAATGAATATTAGTTCTGCTGTCCTGTCACCTGTGCTGTAGGAGTTGTGTGATTCTTCGAAACAATCCTTCTCAATGTACGATGATCTTTTTATGTAAATGTTGATTTTCACCCCTGTTCCTCTTAGCTGATGTTGCCTTCCCAAGATTTGTGTATGCCGACACAACCTCAGACACTGTCACCCTTGCTACACATAGTTATGTGGCAGTTTTTGTCACAGATGCTTCACACAAACATTTGCCAACAATCTGTCCTCTTTCAAAATAAGACAAATTTTCCACTTTCCGATGCTGTCATATTGACCTGTCATTCAAAAAAATCGATAATCCACTGATACAAGCACTTACTTACTTACTTACTTACTTACTTACTTACACATGGAGCTGAGCCCTTCTGGAGGAGCCGCCAATTCAGCAGCTACTCAAGAATTTCCCAGCATTTTATATAACCTGAAGGTTCATTACCATGTTCACAAGAGCCCTCCACTTGTCCCCATCCTGAGCCAGATCAATCCAATCAATACCACCCCATTCTATCACTAAGGTCCATTTTAATATTGTCCACCCATCTACCCCTTGGTTTTCCCAGTGGTCTCTTTCCTTCTGGCTTTCCCACCAATATCCTATATGCATTCCTCATCTCCCCCATTCGTGCTACATGCCCTGGCCACCTCATCCTCCTCATCCTGCCCCGGGTGATTATGATGATGGAGAATTTGGTGGAATGAAGATTGGCAGGGGAAACCGAAGTACTCAGAGAAAACCCGCCCCAGCACCACTTTGTCCACCACATATCCCACTTGACCAGACCCGGGATCGAACCCAGGCTTCCGCGGTGAGAAGCCAGTGACTAACTGCTTGAGCTATGGCGCGGCCTAGCACCAGACCTTGAACAAGCATCTGAAGAATATCATCATCTGGGATGTGACATTGTGCAATGTGGAAGAATTTGTGAACATTTAAGATGAATATTACTATGTCCATCATCATGGTCAAAGGGTACACCAAGCAAGCAGAAAGATGAGTAAACTTTACCCTTCCTGCTAGTTGCTTCCTTGAGCCTCTCCCTGACTCTGAAGACAGAGGCAGTATTTCTCTCTGAAACATCTGTAAACTTCCATCAGACTACATCCTATCACATCCAAAAATATATTCTTCCTAATTTCTGCCATAAGATCTCATACATTTTCACTTCTAGTAATGAAATAAAGGTGATAAATGATACAGTGTATAAATTTCAAAATAAAAATACCTTATCAGAACTGCAATACACAGTGAGCCACCAGTCCCTGTGCACCTACAGTAAACAATGAGTATATTCAGACAGTCGATGTACATTAATAGAAATATATTTCTCGTATTTTTTTTGTTGCTAGTGGGGTGGGACTAAGTCCCTTGTACTGCGGCCACTTCTGGCCTATTGTACCAGCCCCAGATGACAGATGAGGGTGATTGTGGAGCAATTGGTGGAATGAAGATTGGCAGGGGAAACTGAAGTACTCAAAGGAAACCTGCCCCAGCGCCACTTTGTCCGCCACAAATCCAACTTGACCAGACCCGGGATCGAACCCCGGCCACAGCAGTGGGAAGCCAGCGACTAACCGCTTGAGCTATGGTGCAGCCTTTTCTCGTACTTACTTAACTTACAACAAATGTTGGAAGTGGCCACCACATACTTGTAGACAAGCATTTATACATCTTAATCTGTTTGCGAAGACAAATGTCAATTCAATTTGAGACTGGTCAATTATTTTATTATAGTGTTACCTGTCATAGTGAGTGATACATTATATATGGCCCATCATAGACACATATGTATGTTTTATACTTTGTGATATCCAGTCAGATTTTTATTGTATGATGAAATATCTTATTATTATTTTGTTATCTAGTATAAACAATGTCAGATTCTATATCTATGTACATAGATCTCTGGAAGAAACATTAATTATGAATATGTAAAGTAAAAAGTAAAGGTATCTCTGTAACAGGTCATGGAAGCCAATAGGGTTTGTGAGATATTGAGGTTCCCACATTTTCTGGAAAATCGGCTCATAGATGGCGGCAAGGTTGTCAGGCCTACGTGCTGGCTGTCCTTTAACCCCAAGAAGATTCCAAGAATATTCCTGGTACTCATTTCTGTGTGGCTGGAAGGGTTAGGTCAACTGAAAAAATCCAACGACCTCATCGGGACTTGAACCCACGACCTACCAGCTTGTAGCATAGTGCCTCAACCAACTACGTTACTGTGTGCCCCAAAGCTGAATATGAATATGATGAAATCAGCAATGGCTTCTTTCAGTTCAAGGAGTGTGTGAGGAATGTCTGTGTAAACTGAGTCTTTCTTTGCTCCCCAGAGATAATAATCAGGCGATGTAAGCTAGGGGCATTGTTGTGACCAAACACCATTCAAAATTATTGTCCCGAACACATTGCACAGTAGCATCACGGAAACACGAGTTGTGTGTACAGTAGCACAGTCATGCTGTAAGTGGATGCAGGAAATTTAGAAGAACATACAGCGGATTATCTGATGTCATAACATGGGGCGCAACATACCAACCTTGTGATAATGTAATATTACATCTTTGAAGTAATGTGGAATAGTTGTTATCTAAATGCAACTGTTCTTGTTGTTGATGTAAACGGATAAATTAAACCCTGCCTCATCAGTAACAAAGGTGATGTCCAGAGTCCAGAATATCTTTTCAGTTGGCAGTAATTATGTCCCTAAACCATCAGCAATATTCAACACTCTTTAAGACATCCCTTTCTTTCAGTTCATTCACTGATGCTACTTTGTAGTGACCCAGATGCAAATGCTTATTCAGCATTCTACGTGTGCTACCATACAAGATGACCCTCTGCAGTGCCAATTTACAATTACATTTCTTACAATTCTTAATACCAAGAACAAGTTGGGTGTATCGCTTGTAGTGTAGTTGCACACTGATGTTTGGCTTGCCCTGTATGTTATGGCAATACAATCTTTTTCATGAGCAAAATGGTTGAAAACTTAGTGGCCATGTGTGCTGAATTTGTACTACCTTTGTAAGTTCAAGCCTGCTGTGGACGAATGTACTAAGCAACAAACGCTATTTGTTCTTCCAAACATCGACTGCAAAATCGTTATCTTGCATAGACTATGAAATCATCACTAAAGTGGTGGGAAACATTGTTGCAACTCCAGTGGCACATATTGTGAAGGTCTTTATAATTATGCTGTAGCTTTCAACACCAGCACATAGTACACTTTCTAACCACTAAAATCTTATGTTCAGAACTTCTTATCCACTTGTTGAACCTCAATCCCCTTTCATGCCTATAGAAGTCGGCCGCCATATGGTAGCCTCAAAAACAGAGTGCCAACCTGTATTTTCAGTTATACCTTGTTTCATGAAGTTGACCCATTTTGGAGCATGTAACATAGCGCCAACACGGATTTTGCTTTGACACTGTGGCAGCAATGTAGGAGGGATAATGAGGAGCATTCATCCTTGTTGGTGGGCAGTTTCTGGTGGTCTTTCTAATAGTCCTTCTGTCATATGATATTTTGATATTATATTTTCTGTAAGTTCCACTTGTAATTCCATCCTGGGAATGCTGCTACCCTTTTTTTTTTTGTAAAGTAAATATAAATTCAATAGTCTTCTCGTGCTGCAATGGCTTGTCAAGCAAGCATCACTAAGGTCCACACCTCCCACCTCAGAATTATAATCAATGACTACTATGGACTTCCCCATGTCATGTTCTCGAATCCTACCTAGAATCATTTTATAATGAGTAGTACTTATGAGAGAATTTTTTTTTTCACTTCATTATCATTAGTCTGTCTTTGTGGACTGAAACATATTCTCCCTTTTTCAGTTCTGCGCTCTTTATTTTAGCAGGAAGTGTTCCTGTTTTGATGCTACACAAGCATGTGGAATAGACCTGGGCTTGCAAACCAGTTGTCAATGATTACACATTATCCCTGATTCAGGAGAGGCCCCCATTAGTTGTGGAACTACTTGGGAGCCATATGGCTCATTTTTATGGACTCGTACAAAACGGCATCCTGCCCAATGCAAATAATAAAATTCTGTATGTAACCAGATCTGACTTCACACAACTCAAATGATTTTATACCATACCTAGCACGTTTTGATGGAATGTGTACCTTCCATGGCAAACGTTCAGGCCTCAACAAACAACGAAAGGATTAACAGCTTCACAGACTCTTAACCAAATATATAAAGTAGGAAAGAACCCTGCTCAGACCTCCAAGGAAGACAATTTACCCCAATCTCCCATTGATAGAAGAGGCATGAAGACAGGAACCTTAGCAGCTTAAGATTTTAAATATTAAGAATTTTATTAATATTTTAACTCACTACATTTGATCTTAATTAAAATCTTTATATAAAACTAGGACAAATTTGAACTTTATGTACTATGATTTATGTAATAGTAGTTTCCTCAATATGTTATTTGCCTTCTGAAGATGGTCATTAATTCCTGAAACATGTAACAGCATCATATACATACATAAATATACATTTGAGTCACACTGGATAGTGTAGTCAAATCATTCTATAATAAGATAGTAACATATATTTGATACTGCCATGAGAACCAATAACTAAAAAATTTAGAAATAAAATTGACATCACATTAAATTAAGATATTGCTTGCCATCACATAGTTCAGAATTTCATTTTCTCATGTCCTACCTAAAAACACAAGAATTAAAACATACTAAACTGTAAATTTGCTGTTTTCTTTCATGGCAGTAAAAGGTTGTCTCTCACTCTAAGGGAAGAACATAAATTTAGAATGTTTGAAAACAGCGGACAGAGGAGAAATCTTGACCTAAGAAAGAAGACATAAGAAGAGGATAAAGAGAATTCCGTACTTAGGGGCTTAATTATGTGTAGTCTTCACCAGATACTTTTAGGGTGACCTAATCAAATAGGATTAGATTGATGAGACAAATATCACCCTAGAGAGATGATATATGCATACACAAATTATAGTTGGAAAACCTAACCGTAGATGGTAAGGCAATAATAAAATAGACCTTAATAAACCAGGATGTGATACGGACTTGATTTACCTGGCCTGGGATATGGTCTAGTAGCAGTGTCCTGTTAAACTGGTAATGTACATTCAGATTCCATAAGTAAGGAATTCTGGACTAGGTGAGAGATTTTCAGCTTCTCAAAGATGATTCTGCTCCATAGTGTTACTGATAGAATGTTAGAGTGATCAAATGCTGTTTCTTTATAATTTTAACATTATCAACAAATGCAAGGAAAAATAGAAAAAACAATCTCACAACACACATTTTAATAATCTGTCTGTGATGTTAATATAATGGAGAGACAGGTGTATAGGAAGGAGAGAAATGCAACCATGGTATTTGCACATGGGACCAGAGATTTTTGGTGAAGCTTTGTTCTATTGAAAGTATTGATTTTCCAGACATTCTGTCTAATGTAACTTGATACAGTCTCTTAAATGAGACAAAATGTAGTATAGTCCACAGATGAAGATTATGCAACATTTCAATAAGAGCAGATGCCAAGGAATATTATAAATAAACATTTAACTCTTCAGTCCACTTAACACAGTAAAATTAAATGTACCCTGCTCCCTTGACATACAAAAATGTAATTTATAAATGGCATTAAATTGTCTAATCTGATGGCATTAAGGTACAGTGAAGTTAAATGGTGCGTTGCAGGGGTCTAACAGTTTCACACCTGATTCTTCAGAAATGTTCAGTATGCCATACAAATGGAATGTCATTCTAATATACATGAACACTCCTCAGTGTAGCATGTCCTATGATAATTTATGTCAGAATCAAAGGTAGAATATTCTGCTACCTTTGAAGACAAATTGATACCAATGTTTGAGGTTATGGTCAAAGTTAATATAATTGCTGAGTTGTTCATTTCATTTTCACTAGGCTGCCTCAGGAGATCTTATGCCCAGCAATGTCTACATGCCCCTTGTTGGTAAGTTTCCTTTGTTGTCACTGATGCAGAATGTAAGTATCTTCCATTAGCTTTATAGTAACAGGTAAGTTAGGAGAACAGTCCTACTGAATGGCTCTTGATTTAGGATTTTTAAGGAATTACCAAGACGTATGTTCTAAATGAAAAAAGTATACACATTCTCGACTTTAAATCAGTATTGAGGTTAGTACTAGTATATAAAGTTCAGTAAAGTTTTCATAGAATTTCAAGGTACTGCATGCAAGGAACTAATTCCGAGAAAGTAATTAAAGTTCATTCAATTAGAAAAATTATCTGTAAGGTTCTTAAAATGCTTAAGTCCCATATTTGGAAATAGTGACAAAACATGACTTCCTTTTGTTAAATTATTCAAGATCTGAAAACAGTATATGATTATGATCCAAACAAAAATAAAGAAGTTTAGCAATTAACATACAATGCCTGAAATGTCACTGAGGGTACAGCATGCTTTAAGCAGACAACCTTATGGAAGAAAATTTCCGTGTTCAGTGAGGTCCCTATGTCATCCCTAAGGCTCATTGCTGATAGGTTGCACAATTAAATACAAGCCTCCACAAAATCAGTAACATATTGTAGCATGTAGACCCACTGCTAGGCAACGACTGTGAAATAAGCAACTCCACAATGGCCATTACTAGGCAGTGGCCCGTAAACAACAGATGAACGGTGTTTGATGTGCGGTCCATGCCGAGATGTTATAAGCAGGACAAATTAGGAGTTGCAATGAGTGATATAACTGCTGGGGTTCAGTTGTAGTGAGCTGTGAGAATAAGGTGGGTGAGGCTGGGGACAGTGCAGGAACCCACAGGAAGGGAAAATCTGCTGTTGGAAGCCGCTACCAAGCAAGAGCTAGTGAAAACTGTAATAGTCTAAGAAGACCTGGTGTGTCATAAGTGATCTGTGAAATGTGTAGAATATTGAGACCATAATCCTTGTAATCATGAATTGTAAAGAGTCCAATTGATCTGGCTACCGGTTTAGACACTGTCAGTATTCACTCTAAAATTGTGACAATATTTAGACGATGTTGATGCTGATGCAGACACCCTTGGAGACATTTCTGACAGAGTATATAATTTCTTAGATTAAGAAAGCAGCTCATATCACGTTGGAACAGATATTAGTATGACAGGATAATTATATTTAGTGACTCATTTTTTGCCTGCATTGATAATATTAAGTTAACTGGGGGAGATCATAACAACATAAGGAAAGACACAAAAGTTCTGTTAGATCCTAGTAAGCAAGTTGATCTACAAATACAATAAATGCAGAGAAGACTAAGTATATTTGCATGTTCCATCACCAGAATGCAGGACACACTCATAACATAAAGAAATGCTAACAAATCCTTCAAAGATATGGGAAAATTATAATATTTGGGAATGACTAACAAATGAAAATTGCATTCATGAAGAAAGTGGACAACAGATTAAGCTCAGGAAATACTTTCTACTATTCATTTCAGAAGGAGGGGAAGAGACCACTGTAAGACTGAGGCATAGGTTGGAAGATAATGTTATAATTTGTATTAAGAAAGAGCATACGAGGTTATGGACATGATTCATAAGACAAGTGAGGGGCTCTTGTGAACATGGCAAAGAAGCCTTTTAATTCCATAAATGCTGGACATTTCTTGAGTAGCTGGAAAACTATGGCTCCATAGTGTTAGTTTGTTAGTCCATTTTTGCTAGAGTTTGTTCAGATTATGTAGTTTTTGTACATACAGAAATCTTCTGATGAACTTAGATGAGTAAACTGGATTGTTGACATTATTTCCAGGACAGTCCAACTATTTTGTGAATGATGCAATTCTTTCTTAGCAGGAAGATAAGCAAAATTTGTGCTTAGAAGAAAGAATTGTAGTAAGTTGATCTGAATTTCAGTGGGTGCACCAAAGGTTCTAACACCAAAGATAGTAAATGGTTATCCTGCATCAAGGGGTCAGTTCCCACACCAAGCTGCTGTTACTATAGATGGTTCATCTTTCTGTGGCGGTTCCCTCATCTCCGAAACCTATGTGCTAACTGCTGCACATTGTGCTCAAGGGTAAGTACAAACTCTACAGTCCAGAAATACGATGATTAAGTGTGTTAAATGTGCTTATCTTTTGCAGCTGTCCATCTACAATTTTCAACCATACAGATTTGTCTAGCAGTAATGCTGGAGACTTTTATTTGGTGCATGTTTGGTTTATAGCTCGGTCAGAATGTCAATTATCCTGACATAGTTTTTGGTGCTTCTACTCAGCCCCTCAAGGTAAATGCCAGGATAATATCTTGATTAGGCCATGACCACACCCTACCAAATCTTTTCCAATTAATTATTCATAAATCATCCTAATATTCAATGTTACAGGTAAAATTAGGGTTCAGTTCCATCAAATGTGGTTTTTAAAAACCATATTCTAAAAACAATTGTTGTGTTTCTGAACACTGTTCATTGTCCTGTTTTTATTTAAAACAACGTTTCAGAGACTGGATTCTGTCTCTGTCTTAAGGTGGATCCTACTCAGTTTGGCTCAATTGACAGAGCTAGTCCATATTTCTGGACACCAACACAAGACAGGATATATAAACAAAGCAGAACATAAACCACCAGTGAGAGTTAAGAAAAATATTAAAATCATTAAAAACTCCATACACATGAGGCCTGGCACTCATGTCCATGCACTATTTCATGGCTACTATTAAAATCAGAGTAGTATCATGAGAGAAGTCATCTGTAAAGAGACAGTTTTTTTTACTTCTGCTGTGATAACAGGAGTCCAGAAGGGAGAGATGTCCAAGTTGGGTTGACTGATTGGATGATCTACCAGAGACATATGGGCAGATTCCTTGTATTTCCTGTGTGTGGTGTTTGATTCAATTTGCAAGACCTTCACTTCTTTCCAACGTATTCTGTGGCCTTCCTCATGTGCATGTTGGGCTAATTTTGGTCAGGTTATATTTGTGCCCCTTAATGAATATTTCTATAGGTCTGCTTGTTTTGCTGACATAACATCTGCCACAAGAATTTGTGACACTGTATTGAAGACATCAAGAAGCAACCATCCTTCTTCAGATACCATGTATGAGGGCACGGTCATTATCTCTTATGTTATGGGTATCTCCAAAAAATTCTAATGCACTGGATACTAGTTTCAGTGTCAGGATCATTTTACAAAGTGAACATACATTCCATGGGACACTGATGAAAACTGAAGTGGTTACTGTTGCCCAGCAATATACAATATACCATGTGACTGTGACATATTTTACATAGTGAAACAAGCAGACATTTAGAAATACACATTAAGGAGCACAAATACAACCTGACCCTAAGTCTGCTTGAAAAATCAAAATGAGCCCAACTTGCATATGAGGAAGGCCATGAAATGTGTTGGAAAGAAGCAAAGGTCTTGCAGATTGAACCAAATACCACCTGCAGGAAGTGCAAGGAATCTGCTCATATGTCTCAGGTAGATCATCTGATTAATCAACCAAGCTTGGACACATCTCCCATCTGGAATCCAATAATCGCAGCAGAAGTTAGAAAACTACAACTCCATCCAGTGAAAATTGTGTTTTTATGTTGGTACCATGCGATTACGTCTGTTCTGATACGACTGTAATTCTAATGACAATAGCCATGAAATAGTGCATGGACATAGGTGCTAGGCCTCATGTGTATGGAGTTTTTAATGATTTTAATTTTTCTCTTAACTGTTGCTGATGGTTTATGCTGTACTTGGTTTATAAATCCTGTGTTGTGTTGGTGCTATTGTCCAGAGATAGGGACTTGCTCTGTCACTTGGGCCAAACTGAGTAGGTTCCACCTGAAGATGAAGACAGAATCCAGTCTCTGAAACGCTGTGATTTAAATAAAAACAGGATGATGGATAATGTCCACAAACATAATAGTTGTATTAATATACCATCATCACAAAAAATATATATCATATTTTAAAATACTAATGTTTCAACCCTTACAAAACAAGACATTCATGTAATACATGTGAAGTACTTCCTTTGATGGCCATCACTGGTTGAAACATGTAAAGGATTTATTTTAGTATTAAAAACACTATTGCAACTATTGAAATATAACCATAATATTACATATGCTACAAGTTGCAACAGCCAAGAGGAATGTCTATCATAAAAATTCAAAGGCCAATGTCAGATATGTGTTTTGCTCAGTTAACTTTACATCATCATTTTTAATGCAAACTTTAACCTCCATTTTTTAAACAATTATTTCATGGTATGTAAGTTTTGAGGTTTTCACGGCAATGACTATGAAGAAAGTCGTCTTCTGGGTTTAGGCGCCGTGTATTCTTCGTTTTGGCCGACGTTTCGGAGGAATGTATCGCCTCAATCTTCAGCAGGTGAATGGCTTTGAATGCAGAGAGCAGTAGCTGTAGTGATAGGAAGTGAAAGGCGCTGCTTATATACGAAGTAGGCAGGGGGGATGGTTAGGGAGAGTGGACCAATAGGAGCAGTGAAGAGCGATTAAGGCCATATATGGTGTTATGTGCTAAGGGAGGGGGGAGGGCGGGGAACGGCCAGTGAATCCAGGAAACTTGAGGTCAATGGCACTAGGAAGTTGCGGTAAACAAGAAGAACCGGTTGGTTGGGGACAGGCTACTGACATCAATGACATGATTACAGGGGACAGGCTACTGACGTCAATGACATGACGAAGAACTGGTGTGGCTTGTTGGATTTCTCTTGAGGGAAAAACACCAGTTCTTCATCGTGTCATTGACGTCAGTAGCCTGTCCCCTGTAATCATGTCATTGATGTCAGTAGCCTGTCCCCAACCAACCGGTTCTTCTTGTTTACCGCAACTTCCTAGTGCCATTGACCTCAAGTTTCCTGGATTCACTGGCCGTTCCCCGCCCTCCCCCCTCCCTTAGCACATAACACCATATATGGCCTTAATCGCTCTCCACTGCTCCTATTGGTCCGCTCTCCCTAACCACCCCCCCTGCCTACTTTGTATATAAGCAGCGCCTTTCACTTCCTATCACTACAGCTACTGCTCTCTGCATTCCAAGCCATTCACCTGCTCTGAAGATGGAGGCGATACGTTCCTCCGAAACGTCGGCCAAAACGAAGAATACACGGCACCTAAACCCAGAAGACGACTTTCTTCAATTATTTCATGGCTTTGTAACCTTCAGCACCAAGGAAGATGTCTTGTTAACCAGCATAGTTTGAGAGGGTCCTGCATCTGTTCTGGATGTGATAGTCAACACAAACATTCAGAAAGTCTCTGCCAGATTTTGATCCCTGTAATATTAGCCATATTATTGAATGTGATAGATAATCACATGTGAAATATAATTAGAAGATGAAAACCTCAGGGTTGGTGTACAGGATAAGTTCACTTTATATTTCAACCTGTGTAATGAAAGCACGCTGTTTCAGAGCATGAGATAGACTTTTTTCATTTGCTAGTGGTGTGGGACTAAGTGCCTTGTACTGCGGCCACTTGTGGCCTATTGTACCAGCCCCAGATGACAGGTGAGGGTGATTGTGGAGCAATTGGTGGCATGAAGATTGGCAGGGGAAACCGAAGTACTCAGAGAAACCTGCCCCAACGCCACTTTGTCCACCACAAATCCCACTTGACCAGACCTGGGATCGAACCCAGGCTGCTGTGATGGGAAGCCAGCGACTAACCGCTTGAGCTAAGCGGCCTCCGTAGTCTAGAGGTAACGTTCCCACCTCCTGACTCGTAGTATGCGGGTTCAAATACCCGGCGGAGGTCGTCGAATTTTTAAGGGCGGAAAAATTCAGGGAACAAGTCCTCTGGGAGGGACTTTAAGCCGTGGGTCCCGTGTCGTAGCTTTACGGCATGTAAAAGAACCTCATATCTCCAAAGGAGGTCATTGAGCCAAATTACGGACGTTTCCCGCCCAACAGCAGTCTCTAATACCTGTGGTAGATGGGGGAAGCATTATAGATACCTCTCAGCTAGTAGAGCCGGTCTCACTGGCTGGGCGGGACTGATAATAAGCACCAGTACCGGTAGGATATAGAGACTGGTAGAATATCATAGAGGGAAGCACAATAGATCAAACTGGTCGCGGTGCATGGGGAAACCCACCCTCTCTAACTAGCTAACTAACTAACTAACTGACTAACTAACTGCTTGAGCTATGGCGCTGCCCTGAGAAAAAATACATTTAGTACTGCATGTCTGAAAAAACTGAATCAAAACACTTGAACTGCATGGGGAAGAAGTGGAATGTACATATTATTTTGGTGCAAAAGCCAGAAGGAAAGAGACCACTAGGAAGACCTACACATGTGTAGGAGGATGATATTAAAATGGATCTTAGAGAAATAGGATAGGGTGGTATGGACTCGACTGATCTGACTCAGGGTAGGGACCAGAGGAGGGCTCTTGTGAACACGGTAATGAAATCTTCAAGGAGTGCATCCTGTTGTGTTAATTTATATTTCGTTATTAGTTTTCAAACTATTCAATTGCATTCTATATGAATACATACATTACAATGTAACAACTGTCATCAATGTACCTGACTTTCCACATAGTTAATACATTCAACATTTTGTCTGAAATAATACCATTCTTATAAATATATTAAAACTGGAATAAAAGTTTTATATTAAATGGATGCCTAGAGATGTCCGTAATGGTGCTTATAATAAAATAACAATATAAAGAATAAAATTTTTAAATTGTAAAATACAGAAAATTAATTAAATTGTTGCTCATTATGTCGTGCTTAAATATCTTATTTATAAATACTATACATGTTTGTGTCCATTATTGCAATTATAACACCATAATATGTAGTTATCTATGAGTGTCGTTTTGATTGTGGTCTTGTTTGTTTATACTCCCATTTGATTTCCTTATGGAGCAGCTGTGCTGTTCAGAACTAATTGTTGTAATGTTCTGTACTGTTTATTTCTACATTTCTTCCATCTGTTTTTTTTTTATTTCATGAGTTTATCCACCTGTTGTGTTCCTACGTCTGGCTTGACTGTGTGTCAGATTGCAACTGGTTAGTGTATACTGCCAGATGATGGATTTATAAGCCGAAACATGTAGCACACTCTCATATTGTTAGGTCTAGTAAACTCATTACACACAGTAAATGTGAATGAGATTTTGATAGTTGTTGTGGTGAGATGGAAACAAAACAATAACAAAATATGGTAACGAAACTTCAGGTCCATAAATTGTTGGGAAATTACTGAGTAACTGAGAAACTTGCAGCTTCTCAAGAAGGACTCAGCTCCATTGAGTTAGATAAAACACTAGAACATTTTATAACAAATAAACCCAATTTAGTGGGCATATGACCAGTCTGAAACTGAATGTTCTGCGTATCAGTTTAGACAGGACTATAGGAAAGAGAAGCAGTTACTAATATTATCTCCTTACAAGAAGATGCAGTGTGTGTTGCGGTTTGCAGTATGCATTAGTTGTAACTATACAGTGGAATTCTCATCTGCTGCATCCTGCAAAGCAAGGTGCAGCTAACAAATCAGTATGGAAAATATTTAACACTTCAGAAATGAAGGATATTCTTGAAGGCCATCTGTAGACACAGTTCTTGTAAGGTAACATTGAAATGTATTCATAGATACACTTTTCTTAGAAGCTCTAAAATTCTTGTAACAGGTCTAATATTAACCCCATATCATAACTGAGTGCAGTACATCATAAACACTTCAAAATTCATAACATGAAATGCATGGTGTTTAAAAAAATTTTCTTCTAAATTAGCAGAAATATTTCAAATATAAGTTTGTTTTTGGGACAGGTCAATGAACCTTTTTTTTTCCCAAAAATAACACCACAAAATTTCGGAATTTTGGGGCTGAAAAATATGTTTATTAAATACGAGTATATCTGTGACAGTCCAAAGAAATGTGTGATGCAAAATGTGTGACAGTCAGCTTGGATAAAATTGGAAAACACTACATTCCCACAGACAAAAAGAATCAACAATCTCATCTTTCAGGGAAAATAATTACTACAGTTTGTTCCCATGGTGCACTGTGCTCACATAATTCAATTTTCAGTCAGAAGTGATGGGCCAGTGTTGTGGCCGGTGAGAAATACCAATGTAACTCCACTGAAATTCTTTCTTTTGGGCTATGTAGAACACTATGAATGCAGAACAGGTGGAAAATATGTAGAGTTTGTTGCAAAACTCTCACAGTCACAACCACAAGTATAATTTCTGAAATGCAGCGCAAAGTATGGACAAAACTAGAATATTATCTAAACAAACGTTTGTGAGTTTATGAAAAGCGCAAATTTTGAGTTACATTGACTCATAACTAATATATGAAGTGGGTAAATAAACATTAATTTAGACATAAAGATTACAACAATACTGTTATTGAGCATGCTGTTAAAATGGCCCAAATAATGGTGTAAAGTGTAATAATAAATGTAACAGTAAGTAAGTATGGAAACCTTCCTGCACGAAACTAGCTGAGTCATAACATATGTGTCTATTCTTAAAATATGATATTTTTATGTCTGCAATATTTGAGATCTTAAGTTCTACTTTTTAAAATCAACCTGTATTTCTGCATGATAACAACATGCATGACCATGAAAAGTGTCTCAGTATGCAAGAAAGAACTCTCTACAAAAGATAAATAATAAAATGTATATATGTTAGTCGGCTGGTCACAGTAGCTGAGCGGTCTAAGGCATGTACTATCTTCACTCACTTGGAAACCGGGATTGTGGGTTCGAATCCCACTCAGGGCATGGATGTTTAGTTTGTGTGTGTGCGTTTTTCTGTGTTTGTGTACAGGTAGAGGCCTTGCGACGAGCTGATCGCTCACCCAAGGAGTCCTACCGAATGTGTAAGATCTAGAAAAACCGAAGTGAATGGAGAAGTTCATGGAGGTAGGCCTAGGCCCACTGGGGCTGTAGTGCCAAGAAAAAAAATATGTTAGTTGAGATAATATGTTTCTATGAGTGCACAAGATTTTCACTTCTGCAAAATCATGTATTTTAAAGGATGCCTTGGGCAAAGAATGAATTGTAGGTACCATTAATTATTCCACAGAAGCAGATACTAATATTTAAAAAATGCAAGACTATGACTTACATACTTCTTATGTGCCTAACTGAACTGAAATGGTTTCAGTCATGTCGATCAGAGATTGAGTGATAAATTTGCAGATCGCAATTCCAAATCCTGCTGGGTGGCCATTCACTGAGCTCTAGTGACGATGGGAGTGCTACTGTGCTGACATCATCCAAGACTGTCCATAGTGATTACAATAGCCAGAATCTGCAAAATGACGTTGCAGTCCTTCGGCTTCCAAATCCTGTCGCTCTTAATGGTGAGTGTTGTCAACAAGCTTACCTTTAATGCTGTTTCAGTTTATGTAGTGCCCCCATATATGGTCTTTCTTGACCTCTAGGCTCTTCTCATTAGGCAAGGGCTGAGAATCCATTTCTGAGGTGAGTGCACCCCTAGTGTCAATCCCATCACCTCTAGTGATAGGGTGAATATGATGGTCGCCAGATATGACAGCTTAATGTGAGCTGTGAATCATGAAGAAGCCTGGTATTTTTCCTATCTTCTGTGTAAGTGAAGGTTCAAATCTGTGAGCAGAAAAATCCCATATACAGATCAGATTGTTGATTGAACTCAGAACCGTCTAAATGAGAATCCAGTGTCTTACCTGAGGCCATCCAGCACCCATTTCCTTTTTATATACTTTCTCGATAAGATTATAACACTTGAAAATAAGTTTCAGTGGCAAAATTGGAAGTTCTCTTTCCCATTAGTTTTGATATATAAATATACTTGTACTTATGTCTTCTGGAATGTTAAAATCTCTTTCTTTCAGATTGATTCTTTTTTTTGGGGGGGGTGAAACTTCTGAACTCTACAAGATTCTTGTTAATGTCATCATCATCATCATCATCAGTAATCTGTCAGACGACAGGTCCACAGTCTCTTCCAAAACAATTCCTCCACTTAATGCAATCTAGGGCTTTCTCCTTCAAATGACAGTATCCTTTTCTGTCCCCAAGGTCATCCAGCATCTTCTTATGTCTTCTTCCTCGTCTTCTTGTCACTTCTATCCTAATGTCATACACACAGAAAATAAATATCAGTATTTCCATACTTTGAAAAATTGGAATGAATTCATTTTTACTTTGTATTTACCATACTCTATTTCCTGAAATACAAAATGTTTCATTAGTTGCCTGACATATTTAATTTAGAAAATTTCTTTGTGCCATCATCAGGGGATATCCACCATAGATTAGATAATATGATGGAAAATATCCCTGGAGAATGTCTAAAATACTTTCGAAGAAACATGTCCAATGAATAAAGAAAGAAATTGTACTTTTTTCATGAAGTGGGNGGCCGCAAAGCTTTGTTTCAGTACACTACAGCGGATAGGTTGAGGCACGATATGATGCCCTGTTGATTCATCTCTCGTCACAACAGGAGGCAGTTGTGTGCAAAGAGTGTAAGTAGAACTACAACCTGTATTGTGAACTGCAGTTAAATGCGAGTGGCGGAAATTGAAAATGTGTCAGTTTGAAGAATGGGCAAACATCAACTTCTGCTAGAAACTAGGCAAATCCCCTAGGGAAATATTTGGCCTAGGAAGAAGTGGTTGTTGCTACACGACAACGCCCCCTGCACATCACTCTGTTCTTGCCCAAGAGGAACTGGCAAGGCAACAGGTCACCGTTTTGCCACACCCTCCGTACTCACCTGGTCTCGCACCATGCAATTTCTTTCTCTTTCACCGCTTGAAAGCAAAGCTACGTGGTCGTAGATTTCAGTTGTCCGAGGAGGTGGTCATTGCCACAAGAGACGCTGTATGGGAATTTCCTGCCAATAAGTTTCAGCAATAATGTTTTCGGCAGCTATATCAACATTGGCAGACTTGCATAGCGGCCAACGGCAAATATTTTGAAGGCCAATGTGGATCTGTGTAAGCATATGTAAATACCTTGTAATATGAAGCAATAAAACCACATTCCACGAACTTAAAGACTCTACCACGTATATAGTTTTCCAACACACTGATAAAAATATTTGTCTTGTAATCTGGAGAACGTTTATAATACCAACATGCTGTGAATCAGGCAGAGAAGAAAGTTGTTATATGTATTATTTACTTACTTATTCATGGAACTGAGCCCTTCTTGAAGAGCCGCCAATTCTGCAGCTGCTCAAGAATTTCCCAGCATTTTATATAACCTGAAGGTTCATTATCATGTTCACAAGAGCCCTCCACTGGTCCCTATCCTGAACCAGACCAATCCAACCCATAACATCCCATCCTATCTCTCTAAGATCCATTTTAATATTGTCCACCCACCTACACTTTGGTCTTCCCTGTGGTCTCTTTCCTTCTGGCTTTCCCACCAATATCCAATATGCATTCCTTGTCTCCCCTATTCATGCTACATGCCCTGCAAACTTCATTCTCCTTGACTTGATCATTCTAACTATACTTGGAGAAGAGTACAAGTTATGAAGCTCTCATTATGCAGTTTTCTCCAACCTCCTGTAACTTCATCTCTCTTCGGTCCAAACATTCTCCTCAACACCCTGTTCTCAAACACCCTCAGTCTATGTTCGTCCCTTAATGTCAGAAACAAAGTTTCACACCCATAGAGAACAATAGGCAAAATTATAGTTTTGTGTATTCTAATTTTTATGTTTTCGGACAGCAGACGAGACAGCAAAAGGTTCTGGACTGAATGGTAGCAAGCATTACCCGAGTTCAATCTCCTCTTAATTTCCTTCTCAATCCAGTTTTGATTTGTTATCGTCATTCCCAAATATCTGAATTGTGCCACATTTTCAAAACATCTGTTTCCTATCTTTATGTCATGATATTGCCCTGCATTTTGGTGATGAGACAGCAACATATACTGAATTTTCTCTGTGCTTACTTCTAGACCAACGTCCTTACTTGTGTCGATTAAATTTTATGTGTTTTTCTTTATCTATATTATCATCCAGTAGATTGACATCATCAGCATAGACCAACAGCTGATTTGTCCCATTTAATTTCAGTCCCACTTGGTTTTCCTTCACCTTCCTAATGTCATATTCTAAAGCAAATTTGAAAAGCAATGGCAATAAAGCATTTCATTGTTTTAGGTCATTCTGGATAGGAAATTTATCAGACAAATGTTTACCTACATGTTTCATTTAAACACATTTTAATCAGCCTAACTAGTTTCATGGTACCCCAAACTCTATCAGAATATTGTACAATACTTCCCTCCTAACTGGATCATAGGCCTCCTTGTAGTGTATGAATAGCTGATGTGCTGTCTCATCATACTCCCATTTTTTCTCCAATATCTGACGAATGCAAAAGATCTGATCTGCAGTTGATCTATTATGTTGAAAACCACGCTGATGATCCCCAATAATTTCATCTATATATGGACTTAACCAGGGGTACGCAGTAGCATAGTTGGTTGACGGGCTATGCTACAAGCCGGAAGGTCGCGGCTTCAAGTCCTGATGAAGTCATTGGACTTTCTTCAATTGACCTAATCCTTCCAGCCACACTATGGTCCTGGGTTTGACTCAGCCTCTAACAGAATTGAGTACCAGGAATTAATTAAATAATTTTCCTGGTGAGTAAAGCGTAGCCGGTGCTTAAGGCTGACAACCTTACTGCCATCTTTGAGCCGATTGTCTAGATAATGTGGGACCCTCAACGTCTCACAACCCTATGGGCCTTCACGGCCTGTTATAGGGATAGCTTTACTTTTTTACTTTTTATGGACTTAACCTTGGGAGAAGAATATTGGATAAAATTTTGTATGAAGTTGATAGCAGTGATATGCCTTGATAATTACTACATACAGTTTTGTCACCCATCTTGTGAACTGGTACAATAATAGACTCTCTCCCCTGATCAGGTAATTTTTCCTTATACGAAATAGAAATAATTAGCTTTTCGTACATAAGCGAATCGTATCAGCAGTTAAGAGGATAGAATTCGTTAGTGATAGGATATCATATATACTTGTAATATTAAAAGGTCCCTGGCATGATATCATTATTATGAATGTTCATGCCCCAACAGAAGATAAAATTGATGACATAAAGGATAGATTCTATGAAGAACTAGAACATGTATTTGATAAATTCCCGAAGTACCCTATGAAAATTTTGTTAGGAGATTTCAATGCCAAAGTAGGGAGGGAAGACATTTTCAAACCAACAATTGGGAATGAGAGTTTGCATGAAATTAGTAATGATAATGGAGTTAGAGTTGTAAACTTTGCCACATCAAAAAATCTTACTGTCAAAAGTACAATGTTCCCTCATCGTAAAATCCATAAATTTACTTGGACATCTCCTGATGGGAAGAAACACAATCAAATAGATCATATTTTGATAGACAGGAGACGGCACTCAAGTATACTTGATGTCCAATCATTCAGGGCAGCAGATTGTGATACTGACCACTACCTGATGGTGGCAAAGGTTAGGGAAAGACTGGCAATGAACAAACAAACAACACACAGAGTTCATATGGAGAGGTTCAGTCTCAAGAAATTAAATGAGGTAGAGGGTAAAGAGCAGTATTGTGTTGAAATCTCAAATAGGTTTATGGCTCTGGAAAATTTGGAAACTGAGGTGGATGTTAATAAAGCTTGGGAAACTATTATAGAGAATATAATAATGTCTTCCAAAGAGAGTCTAGGTTATTATGAACCAAAGAAGCATAAGCCATGGTTCGATGAAGGAAGCTCAAAATTATTAGATCAAAGAAAGCAAGCCAAATTGCAATGGTTATAGGATCCAAGCAAGTTAAATGGGGATAATCTAAACAATATAAGACATGAAACCAGCAGGCATTTCAGGAACAAAAAGAGTGAATATCTGAAAGACAAAATTGATGAGCTTGCATTGAACAGTAAGAACAAGAACATTAGAGATCTGTATAGAGGAATAAATGACTTTAAGAGGGGTTACCAACCTAGCAGTAACTTAGTGAAGGATGAGAATGGTGATCTGCTTGCAGATTTCCACAGTATTTTGAATAGGTGGAGGAACTACTTCTCTCAGTTATTGAATGTACGTAGGGTCAATGATGTTAGGCAGACAGAAATCTAATTACACTTCTATTTGGCGTAAGGAAAAATTGGCTGATCAGTGGGAGGAGTCTTATTATTGTACCAGTTCACAAGAAGGGTGATAAAACTGACTAGTAATTATCAGGGGATATCACTGCTATCAACTTCATATAAAATGTTGTCCAATATTTTTCTTTCAAGGTTAAGTCCATATATAGATGAAATTGGGGATCATCAGTGTGGGTTTCAACATAACACATCAAATACAAATCAGATCTTTTGCCTTCGTCAGATATTGGACAGAAAATGGGAGTATGATCAGACAGTACATCAGCTATTCATAGACTTCAAGAAAGCCTATGATTCAGTTAGGAGGGAAGTATTGTACAATATTCTAATAGAGTTTGGGATACCCATGAAACTAGTTAGGTTGATTAAAATATGTTTAAACGAAATGTATAGTAAAGTTTGTGTAGGTAAACATTTGTCTGATAAATTTCCTATCCAGAATGGTCTAAACAAGGAGATGTTTTATTGCCACTCCTTTCCAACTTTGCCTTAGAATATGCAATTAGGAAGGTCCAGAGAAATCAAGTGGGAGTGAAATTAAACAGGACACATCAGCTGTTGGTCTACACCGATGATGTGAATCTACTGGGTTATAATGTAGATACCATAAAGAAAAACACACAAACTTTAACTGACGCAAGTAAATAGGTTGGTTTAGAAGTAAACACAGAGAAAACTAAGTATATGTTACTGTCTTGACACAAAATGCAGGGCAAAATCATGACATATAGATAGGAAACAGATGTTTTGAAAATGTGGCACAGTTCAGATATTTGGGAACAACGATAACAGATCAAAACCTGAATCAGGAGGAAATTAAGAGGCGACTGAACTCGGGAAATGCTACCATTCAGTCCAGAACCTTTATGTCTTCTCGTCTGTTTTTCAAAAACATAAAAATTAGAATATATATAACTGTAATTTTGCCTGTGGTTCTGTATGGGTGTGAAACTTTGTCTCTGACATTAAGGGAGGAACATAGATGGAGGGTGTTTGAGAATAGGGTGTTGAGGAGAATATTTGGACCGAAGAGAGATGAAGTCACAGGAAGTTGGAGAAAACTGCATAATGAGGAGCTTCATAACTTGTACTCTTCTCCAAGTATAATTAGAATGATCAAGTCAAGAAGAATGAGATGGGCAGGTCATGTAGCACGAATGGGGGAGACGAGGAATGTGTATAGGATATTGGTGGGAAAGCCAGAAAGAAAGAGACCACAAGGAAGACCAAGGCATAGGTGGGTGGACAATATTAGAATGGATCTTGGAGAGATAGGATGGGAGGTTATGGATTGGATAGATCTGCCTTAGGATAGTGACCAGTGGAGGGCTCTTGTGAACACGGTAATGAACCTTCGGGTTCCATAAAATGCTGGGAAATTCTTGAATAGCTGTAGAATTTGCAGCTCCTCCAGAAAGGCTCAGTTCCATGAGTGAGTAAGTAAGTAATGGATCTTAGAACGTAATATTTCACCTTCTTCCTGAATCAGTTCTGCTGGAATTTGCTCACTACCTGGCGATTTATACCTTTTCAATTTTGCAATAGCACTTTCAAACTCAAAAGGGCTAGGATCAGGTACTGAGGGCTCAGCTGTATGCATTTCTGTCTGCCTAACATCACTGACCCTATGTACATTCAATAACTGAGAGAAGTAGTTCCTCCACCTATTCAAAATGTTGTGGGAATCTGCAAGCAGATCACCATTCTCTTCCTTCACTAAGTTACTTCTAGGTTGGTGACCCCTCTTAAAGTCATTTATTCCTCTGTACAGGTCTCTAATGTTCTTGTTCTTACTGTTCTTTGCAAGCTCATCAATTTTGTCTTTCAGATATTCCCTCTTTTTGTTCCTGAAATGCCTGTTGGTTTCATGTCTTATATTGTTCAGATGATCAAAATATATATGTTTTTATTTTTTCAGAGTACATCAAGCTAGTAAATTTGCCATCCCTCTCGCCAACTCCCAGCACATATGAAGGTGAAAGTGCTGTAGTCAGCGGATGGGGAAAGACATCAGAGAGTAAGCATGTTGAACCATTAAATTCATAAAACATAGACAAGACAAAGCATGACCATTAAACAGTTGATTTGTACATCAAAGAAACTGTCATCCAAGATCAAGTGATTTAAACGATTTTAAATCTAACATTCACATATTTCTAATGTGTTCTAAATATCAGTATTTCATTCTAGGTTTATATGAAAAGGCTGTATTGAAGCAGACTCCAAAATTTGGTGGTCCATTTGTAGGGCAGATTTGGGTAGTCCCTATTTTCAAAAGCTTAACCTTGTTATTTATTTTTATTGCAATAATACACATACACAGTGTGTCCAGGATCTGTTAGGACTGTGTTCATTAAAAATACAAGACGTGAATGATTTTCAAAATGGCACTCTTTTTATTCAAAAGAGTCTCCCTCTGAATCAATAATAGCTGGAATCAATTGAAAAGTTTTCGAAAACAGTCACTGTACTCCTTTTGTGGAATTGCATTTAAAACTACAGTGCATTCCTGTTGGATGTCCTGGATGGTGTCCTGACGGTCTCCTTTCATCGCCAACTTAACTTTTGGGAGCAACCAAAAATCTGCTGGAGCCAAATCTGGTGAATATGGAGGATGATCAAGGAGTGTGATCCCTTTTCTGGCCAAAAACTCGCGCATGATCTTCGATTTGTGGGGTGGATATTGTCGTGGAGGAGCGACCAGGAACCTTGCTCTCGATATTCAGGTCAAATTCGAAGAATTCTCGCCCACAAAAACGATTGAGGACTCCGAGATAATAATCAGAATTCACTGTTTAACTTTCTGGCAGAAATTCCTTGTGAATGATTCCTTTGGAATCAAAACGGTTAGCAGTGTCTTTACTCAGCTCTTTTGCATTCACACTTTCTTTGGTTTCGGCTTCTTTGGGCTCAACCACGCTGCACTCTGCCGCTTTATGAGAGGCTCACATTGAAAACACCATGTCTCGTCACCAGTAAAAATCGATTTTGTAAATTCTGTATCACTTTGGGCCGACCGTAACATGTCTTTGCAGTGTTCCACTCTGGTATGTTTTTCATTGTCTGACAGCACGTGCGGTACAAACCGTGCATAGACCTTCCATTTGCCCAAATCCTCGGTCAAAATTTGATGCACAGTACTTTTTGCTATTCCCAAAAGCTCCTCGATGAGTCTTGCAGAAACACATCTGTCTGATGCAAGGATTTCGGTCACTTCTTTCACATTTTCTTCATTGTGACTTGTTCTCGACTTTGATGCACTTGGAGCATCTTCAGTCTCCTCTCTGACATCACGAAATACAGCATACCATCGAAAAATGTTCGAGTGACTCAAACAATTACTACCGTACACACTTTTCATCATTTCGTATGCTTCTCCAGCTGTTTTGCCTAAATTCAAACAAAACTTGATGTTGGCTCTCTGTTCAACCGCCTTTTTCCGATGAGCGTCAGAACACATGATGCAGCCATGCTTGCGCTTTGAAATTATAGACAGCCACAGCTGAAACTTCAAGAATCTTAATGCCACAACTTACCAACAGATGGCATTGCAGGGCAAAATAAAAAAAAAAAGAGTCGTAACGGATCCTGGACACACCGTGTATAAAAGGAAGAGATCATTTTGGACACCTAGGCATAGATGGGAAGATGATATTGAGATGGGTCTTAAAATATGATATGAGGTTACACACAGGATTCATTTTTCTCAGTGGTGTAAGCTTCTGTGCATACAGGAATAAAGCTTGGAGTTTCTCAACCAGCTAAGCAAATATTAGCTCATTAAGGACTGTGATTCCTGGAGTTAAATAGTTAGTTAGTTTGTTGTTTAGCTATTTCATTAGTTATTAATAGTGCAGAGATCTTCACATTTCAACCCACTTACATGAGATGAAAACTGGTTAGGAAAAAATTGTCCTACAATATGCATTTTTCAGGATTCTTGTGTAGTTGCACATTAACAACAGAAACATGATCTGTCTTTGCAATGGAAGTTTCTGGGAACCCCATCTACTTATCAGCCCCTGAAAAAGAAAATCTTTTTATGAGCGATTTTCAGTCACCAGAAACTTTTACTAATTGTTCTGAGCATGTGAATTATTTAATCAACTCTTAAACATTCAAACATCATTTGCTGTTCACATGCAAAGCATTTTCACCATCTTCATGTCATCATTAACACTTTCTTTAACAATGAAAGAAATGCTGAAATGTGTAGGTGTTAACAATAGATGATTATTTAATTTATTCTTATATTCAAGTAGATCCAATTACAGGGCAAGAAACAAGTTCACACACCACTGGATATAGAATGTGTCAAAAACCAAACAAATGTTCCAATCACTGGAACAAGTCAAAATAATATAATATAAAACATATATAACACAGTCACTAAACATAATGAAATGTGACTACAACAAGACTTAAATACTAGATGAAAACATATTAACCAATTTATCTTATAAAATTCATCCAGTTTATAAAAACAATGCATATGAATGGATATTATCAATAAACAATACAATATCAAATAATGTATGTTACATCACTCACACATCAAAAGAAAAACTATAAAACATCTAACATGCAAGAACAATAAATGGAATAAATAACTTCTCTCAGAAGTGTACTAAAAATTATTATGGTAATAAATACATTCATAAATAAATATATAGATTCATAAAACAAGAGATTGTATGTTAAAATAAGTAAAAGTCATAGTTGGTATGTATGCAGATCTAAAGTAGATGATTATTTATATACTTTTAGTTACTCGTAATATGATTTGTCATGGTTAATTTTAGATACTATTTATAAGAACCAAGATCACCCCTTGTGTTCCATTCATAATATTCATTTAAAGAATAAAATGAACCAGCAAGAAGCAACTCTTTTAGAGCCTGTTTGAATTTAGTAATATCATTTAATAGATTCCTGATGCCTTGTGGTAGATTATTGAATATTCTAATTCCTGAATAATATACACCTTTCTGCACTTTAGGTAATTTATTACTTGGAAAATATAAGTCAAAACCTTGTCTGGTGTTAATGCTGTGTATAGCAGAATTAAATTTAAATATATCTAAATTCTTAACAACAAAGTTGATACAGAGAATATATATTGAGAATATAAGGGCAGAATATTTAACTGCCTGAACAATCGATGACAAGAGTACTTATTTCTTGCCTTCATAATAATTCTCACTATTCGTTTTTGGATTTTGAAAATTAAATTACTATGAGTCAAATTGCCCCAAAATAGTATTCCATACGACATAATGGAATGTGCATATTCAAAATAAATCATTCTAAACTCTCCTGAGTCATAACTGCAAATAGGGTTCTAATAGAATAACTAGCCGCATTCAGCTTAATTACCAACTGATTTATTTGATCTTTCCATGATAAGGTATTATATATGATTAGTCCTAAAGCATAACAGACCACTGTAAGTCGTGGAGCAAGGGCCGAGAAGGCCTACCCCTCGTACATACTAATCATACTAATACATACTAATCATTCATGATTAGTTCTAGGAATTTTGTATTACAAGTATTTTTAATTTGAACATCCTTATAGTTTAGATTTATGTTTGATGTAGTATTTACTTTTGATGAAAAATGCACATACATAGTTAGTTTTGTTAAAATCTAATGATAACGAATTATTCATAAACCATGTGTCTATTTTGTCCAGTATCATTTTCAATACCATTATATGTTCCACAGAATCAGAATTGTAACATATGAGTAGTATGCTGGTATCATCAGTATACAAAATTGGTTTTGATATTTTATTTATTAAGTAAGACAAATCATTAATATATAAAATAAAGAACAAGGGGCCAAGCATTGAACCCTGGGGCATACCTTGTTTAACTTTCTGCCATTCAGAAATATCCATAGAATAATTATTATTTATTAATGTTCTCTGATATCTGTCACTCAGGTGGGATTTAATCAATTTTCCAATACTGCCATTAATACCATAAAACTGTAGTTTGGATAATAATACATCATGATTTATAGAGTCAAATGCCTTGGTTAGATCACAGAATAGTCTTCCCATAGTCCATGAAAGTTGATTTATTAATTCACATAAGCTTTATACCATGGCATGAGACATAGAAAACTGTAGTGAACCCCCAATTTAATATTTCTTTGTGGAGTAGTGGATTTTATCACTAAACTCAGGAAAATCTTAAATTGAGGAAATTAACCTGAGATTTATTAACTTGGAACTGCTAACACTGAAAATTAAATTAGATAAAACCTTAAATTGAAAAACATTAAATGGGCATATAACACAGTTTCAAACAAGTGATCAGTTTAAAATTCATTAAATGAGCTATTACCATCTTAACAAGTGACCAAATAACTTCAGAATTTTACCTCCATGCTGGAAGCTTACATGCAAAAACAAAACCCAAAGCCTAATCTTAGGTCATAGGTTAGACACTCAGGATCACTGAGTTTCTGGACTTTGTCTATCATCTGGCATTCTAAAGAAAACCTTTCAGAAACAAGACTTGTACCTACCCTCAGGTGAAAGGATGGGAGAGACATACTATGTTGAGTCTGTTAGAAAGATCTAACCTCAGTCACTGGACCTGTTGAATGAATGAATGTATAAGGGGTGGGCCTTCTTGGCCCTTGCACCGCAACCACAGTGATCTACTGTGCCTCCCTTTCAGATTATCCCCTCAACAATCCGGCGCTTTGAATGAAGCGTAGGATTTTGTACGTGGGGACATCGAAATAGTCACTTGGTTCCATAAAACATTGACCCAAGTGATGCAATCTTACAAGTAAATAAGCTAAGGCCTCACATTCACACAGGATATGTGTCTTCTCGACACCTCTCACAAATTGGACTATTACTTAGTCCCAGTTTGAAGAGGTGTCCTTTGAGGTGACAGTGTCCTGTAAGTAGTCCTACCACCCACTGTAGCTGGTTCCTCTTTAACTTCTACAGTTCCTTCGCTCCTTTAGTAGAGGGTCCTCGTATGAGTCCCTTTGCTTGCCTGAGTCCAGTCAAGGATCCCCAGTATTTCTTGTGCTTCATATTTGTCCAGCCCCTGATTGCCTTTCTGGCGACTCCTATAGAGATGCCACAGGCTGGTTCAGGTCCTATGAACGGATGTTCAGCTCCAATCTTGGCCAATTGGTCTACTATTTCGTTTCCAGCAATACCTTCATGCCCCAGTACCTTGTTATGTTTGGCCAGTTCCATGAGAGTTTGGTGGCAATCCCAGACCAATTTTGAGTTGATCTGGTGTTTGTTAAGTGCTTTAAGTGCAGCTTGGCTGTCAGATAGAATGTAGATGTTCCTGTTTCTGTAGTTCCTATCTAGATTCTCCATAATACATGCCTTAATGGCATATACTTCTGCCTGGAATACTGTCGTGTACTGCCCAAGGCTGAAACTAAGTTTCCGCCTCGTGCCATAGCAGAACACCAGCTCCAGTGCCTTTATTTATCTTGGAACCATCCGTATACCAGATCAGTCCCCCTTTTCTATCGGGCCGAAACCTGTCTTCCCATTCACTCCTGTCAGGAAATCTGACTGAAGGGTTTTTTCATATACATGTCTCAGTATCATTTTGTCAGACCCCATTTGTAATATGGGTTCTTTTTTCATGTCCTGAGTTAAATATGCATGTCTGAAACTATCGGATTTAGATTTCCACTGATCACTGCACTGGAGACGGTAGATTCCTGCCGTGGCCTCTGCCTCCAACTGTAGCTGCAGTGGGGGGAGTCCAAGGAGTGTCTCCAGTGCAGCTGTTGGAGATGTTCGAATTGCTCCTGTGATACCTAAGCAAGCCAACCTTTGCAATTTGCTAAGTTCTGCCTTGCTTGTCTTGAGTTTAACTCTGGCCCACCATACTGGGGGGGGGGGTTCAAAACCTCAATTATCTGCTACTGTGCAAATTACTATTAATGGTGGAAGTGCCAACACAGTGGACAGTAGGGCAATATTTTTTTAAATTTCTTTGGAAACCTACTAATGCAATAAGTACTCCTTGAATAATGTCATGTATCCTGGTAACACAACAAGTAATAAATGGGTTTCAGATTAGATGAACCAGTTTATTTGACAATTTCATGGGTTGTAACTACAATTAACTGTAACACTCTCAGATTAATTTTTGAACTTGCTACACTTGCCTGAATGATGTTTGCCTCTTGAAAGCATGCTAATTCACTGCTGAACTTCTGACTTCACTTCTGTTTTCAACTGTCAGATTCTGTATTCACTCTCCTTGGCTGTAGCTTCAGCAGCAGTCCTCAGCTCTCAGCTCTGCTGGTTTCCTCTCGCCTGGTGTAATCTGTCTTCTCTTTGTCTCAGCTGAGCCTTCTGTCCACTGTTATCTTGGTGGTCAGATGGTCTAGAAGACACCTTCTCGAAGGGTTCTGTTTTTCTTTTCCATGGTAAGAGTCTGCCTATGTACACATTGTCACGTGAACATGTGTACAATTGCTGCCTAGGCAACGATGTATTCGCTGCTTCTTCTTGTAGCAGGAACATAACTACTGAGCCGTTGTCTAGCAACAGACGTCTCTGTTGTGATTTTCTGACTGCGCACTTATAGGCCGCACATCACTATAAATACACTATGTTCCTTCTTTAAAATAGTTATGTATTCCCAGTTTACAAAGGAATATGAGGCTGAAGGTAAGGAACCAAATTTTTCAGTGTTATGTGGTCTAATGGTTAGAGTTGCTGGCTACAGATCCAGAGGTTCTGGGTTCGATTCCCGGCGCTACCAAATTTTCTGAGAAGCGGGTCTGAAATGGGGTTCACTGAGCCTCATGAGGATAATTAAGGAGCTATGTCAAGGAAATAGCAGCTCCAGTCTAGAAAACTGAGATTAATGGTCATGGGGATCTGTTGCGCTGACCACGTGGCACCCTCTATCCACAAAAGTTGGCACTGACTTCACCGACAAGAGGCATTTTTTTTTAAACTTCATGTAAGTGTGGGCCATCTTTCAGGTATACTTTATTCTGTAAACAAGTAAAAGTAAAAGTAAAGCTATCCCTGTAACAGGCCGTGGAGGCCCATAGGGTTCTGAGATGTTGAGGATCCAAAATTATCTAGACAGTCGGCTCAAAGATGGTGGTAAGGTTGTCAGCCCTATGCTCTGGCCGCGCTATACTCCCCAGGAAAATTATTTAGTTAATTCCTGGTACTCATTTCTGTTAGAGGCTGAGTGAACCCCAGGGCCATAGTGTGCCTGGAAGAATTAAGTCAATTGATAAAAATCCAATGACCTCATTGGGACTTGAACCCGCAACCTTCTAGCTTGTAGCATAGTGCCTCAACCAACTATGCAGACATCCTTAAAATGATTATGTTTAATACAACTGTTTCAGGCAGACTAGGGTTATGCATGGCTGAAATGCTTATTGTGGACTGATGCAAACTGGCATTCCTGATTCATTAGCTTCTATTGTCAACTAAACTGTCAAGTATTTTTGAAAGCATTTACACTTATAATGTTATCTTTAAAATTGCTACTGTCAGATGGCGTTTATTAGTTGTATTGTTCTTGTAGTTCATTATATTATGCAATATAGCAGTGGAATTTCAAACTGATTATGTAACTTCAGGTCTGAAATTATTTTAGCTTTTAAGAAAAACAAATAATAAATGTAATTAGCAAATAATTCCTAAAAATGTAACATTCATATGAATAGAATAATTTTGTTATCAACTGAAAGAGCAGTTGCTGATATTTTCTGAAGGTAGAAAATTATATTCCATTTTTCTTCATAAATTTGTGTATTTCTCTTATATTTACCAGTAGTTACATTTGGTGAAATATCAAATAAAAGTATTTACACTTATTCACTCACTCACTCATTCATGGACCTGAGCCCTTCTCGAGAAGCCACAAAAATATTTACACTACAGAATATTAATATAAATACAAATACCTTAGACCTCTAGTTAGAATTGCAATACAGAGTAACTTCAAACAGATGCATATATCCAAAAAATCAAATTTCTTACATGCAAAATTATAGCAAAATCTGATATGCTAAATTGGAATTGTTAAACTTTTCAAGTAGCATTACTCAACTTGTTAAAAGCAACCTTCTGGGTTGTAATGCTGTGTAGTGTGATAGAAGTCAAGCAATACTTGGGAGGAACATATTGGCTCTATCTTCAATGCTGAAAAGCGCCCCAAGCGTAAGTCAACAAGTAGAGTAAGTGGACTTCACTGCACAACATGACACCTCATGCCAGATAGTACTCTTCATCATCACTGCTGTGAGGAAGTTTGTCATGGCTGGTTATTCTCTTTACAGATGGTGGCGTCAGTAACACTCCAAATTTTGTTGATGTGGATATCATAAGTAATGATGTTTGCTCCTCGTACTATGGCAGCATTATTGCCCCTAGCACTATCTGTGCTAGTGGTTCAGGAGGCAAGAGCACTTGCAACGTAAGTTTATGAACACTGTTTAACCTTTAACATCCAAACTGCACCAATCAGTACACCAGTGAGTATGCTCATCATAGCCACATTAACCTAATTTGTGCATTTGGGCATTTAAGCACTGCTAGTGGAAATGTGCACACATGCTACTAGTAGAAGTGTATACACAATCCTAAATATTTATTTTTAATTACAGTAAAATTCAATGCANGCATCAATGTGGGCCGCGCCGACCTCCACAAGTGAACGCTCAAGCCGAAGATTAATCTCCCTTACACACAAAGCACTTCAGCACTTCTTGAAACACCCGAAAATGCACAGCCCCACGTCACATATCTTGCACTTCAGCTGCCTTTCAATTTCATCATCTTCCAAACGTTTCATTGCCATTGAATGATGAACTGCAACTACAATATTCAAATTCACCATGAACTCACAAAAAACTGAATGCACTCTGAATCTCAGCTACGATGCAAATGTTTGTTTGTGACTTACAGAAGCAATGGAAGGGCTTGGCACTGAATTTGGGAACAAAGAATTTTCCCTTTAACCTTCCTTGAACTGCCATGCTTTCACTCTTCTGTCCTTTAGTCAGAACACTCGAATATCTAAAGAGTGTAACAAAGATGTGAAACTTGCCAGCAGAGAACCAAATGAGTTTATTGCTTCCAACAGTTCTATGAAAACCAGCGAATGCAAAAATATTTCAAGTGTTACAAGCAGGAATGATTTTATAATGCACAACTACTCTTTCAAGAAGCGGAAAACAATTTTTACAGCGAGCATCAAAATTATAAGAAACTGTAACTCGTTTGTTTAAGCATTTTCAAATCTTACACTATAATGTGACAGTGTTCTTTGCTGATTAAAACAAAGTTAATTCCATTCATTTATCATAAAAATATATTAGATAAAGAATTTTTTAATACAATGTAAGCATCCTAACAGGAACAGACATTTAAATGCAAAGCAGCAATGGGCATTTAAATGAGCACTGGCAGTGGGCATTTAAATAAACTCTGGCCAGCTCAAGCTACCACCATTTAAAAAATCCAGAACTTAAGGTTAACATAGGGTTTTGCAGACTGGTTCAACTGAAATGAAAGCAAGCAGTGTTAAGTTTTTACCAACATGTAGTGGCAACTCTCATTCTACTTGAACAGAACTTCATAATTGATTACTGTAAAAATGAACTGCTATAAGTGACCAACTTCTGCCTTCACTGAATCTTCACATATTGCACAAAAAATTTTTTTGAAAGTTTCTGAAGTTCATCTTCAAAATTAAAAGAAATTATACAATTTATTCTAACCTGGAAATTTCTTTCAGTTGTCAGTCTGTTGAAGAAGGAATTCAGTATATCACTTGTATACCATTCTGAAAACAGTTTGCTGCGCTGTAATTCACTATCCACTTTCAGCATATCACACTACTACTCTTACAACGTGTAATGCACAGGATTTTCTTCTGTCTATATTTGTACATTTCGTGTCCTGACAGGACCATTAGGACAAACACACATTTTACTGGTTATGAATAGCAGCCATGAATTCACAGCTTTGTCATGCAGTTTGCAGCAACCATATAAAAACTTGAATTCATGCTGCATCATCTGATTGTTTCAGTTCATGCACATTCGTTATCTTACATGGGTGAAATGTAATTCATCTTAGAACAGTGACAGAAGATCTGAATAAAACGCCACATTTTTATGCCTCAACAATTTACAAAGACTGCTCTTTGACCATACCTAAATGTCTTGAATTTTTCCTTCAGTTAGCATATTCTCCTTCAATTGTTTCTTTTTGCTACAACTTGAATCTGTGGTTCACAATTTATTGATAAGCTCTGATACATATCACTTTGTGAGAGCTCATTCCAGTATTTNCTTGCTCGGAGATGACCAAAGAGAAAACCGCGTGAATGTTTGCCGCGACTTGAAGAGTGAAGTGCAGTTTTCCCTAACAGAAAGCAAAATTTCACGCACACTCTTTGTTCCTTCTGGTCGGCCATCTCACTAATCGCCAAAGGGTTGAAACAGGAACGCACACAACAGAGCACCACAGACAAACCACTTAACTCAGACTGACGCCAGCTCACTAACAGTCGCGGGAGACCCCCAGCTAACACCACCTAGCAGCACAACTCGTAACTACAAAGCATGCGCGCGCAACAGGTCGGTTCTGGTTATTTTTGTGTCCCCCTTCGTATATATACTGGCGTTTTTACTGCATCTTCTTGTTCACAAGCAGACCAGCAGGAGAACAGTTATATAACAATCATATTTCTCTCTGGTTATGGAGGCAGAGGTCTCCCAAACATTTGAAATTCACGCCATACTGATGTGGCTAATGACCTAAGATTATAGTAGACCCCTAATTACCCAGGTTGTATGGGAAATTATTTGCTCATGTAATGGAAACCCTGCATAATCAGTAAAAGCAATATGTGCCTAACTTATGAATTTGGATGAGGCATATATTTATAAGTGTATTTTACTCTTAACACTGTTGGTAGACATGTGAGTGTAGTTTCTGTAAAGCTCTTGTGCCACTTCTACAAATCAAAAACAGTCCCAACAAAGAGAATCTTCTCGAGTTTTGAAGTACATATTCAAATGCAAACAAAACTCCCTTCATTTTGTAATTTCTCCTTATAAAAAACAATTTCATATGAAGTTTACCTTTTGCCACTGGACACACCAGACAATTTTCTTAACAAATGCCCCTAGATAATCCACCCCTAGTTGTGAGTCTGCTGTACTTCATTGTATTCAATTGTCAAAAGAACTTCAAATCTCATAATGTAATTTCTGTTAACTCTCTCAGAATGGACTAAGTTTGAACTCTCATATATTAAAAGTCTAGTATATGGAACGTGACTTATCATCAGTACAACAGTTTAGGCTGAATGTTGTTCAGAGCCAGTCAGGACAAATTGTCACAAAGTATTTCCTTAAAATTTATTTGAATATCATCATTTCATTTACCTATGATCTTCACAAGATTTGTCTGCTCAAACTACATATACAAGTACAAACTAGATGCACTGCTGCTTACTGCCCTTGAGGCAGACACCCTATTATTTCAACACAATTTACAATTCATTATTTTATGAAAGTTTGTTATTCAGAATTGACAGTTGAAACAGCGTTCTCCTCTCAAGAGAAGTGATCCACGTTGTGAAATATACATATTCATACCAGTTGCTGTTTGAATGAATCCATTCTACCTACAACACTTGGCTTGAAATTAAAGTACCTTCATTTGTTCTCTGTGACAGTTATTCCCAGTGTCATCTTTCTGGAAAATACAGAAATCTAAGATTCTCATGATCCCTCTCTACCTTCAGTCTACAGCTGTGGATACCTTATGTACTACCTAAGAATATCATAATGCTTTGGTTGAGAGACATTGCTTTATCACTTTATTCATTTCAGAGGCATATTGACAGCAGAGGGTATTACTGTCAAACTCTTTTATGAGATTAGATTTTTTTCTTGTGATTGATGGAGTATACAGCATCCTCTTAAGAGTAACAGACAGGGCTGGTACTACAGCACAGGCAATTCAAGCAGCTGTGTGGAGTGCAAAGATTCTAGGGGATGGAGCATTTTACAGGCCCTCTCCTTTCTTTCTTTTGCTTCTTGTAAAATTAAAATTCATTTCTGCTGAGCTTGTTCACATCATGATTATTAATGTGCAGTAGTCTAAACAAGTTTTGCAACAGGGTGGCTTCTCAGAGGCCCTTGTCAGACTGGGATTGGATAACTGACCCAGGTAAAAAAGGTGAAGCTATCCCTGTAACTGGCCATGGAGGCCCACATGGTTGCGAGATGTTGAGGCTCTGACATTTTCTAGAAAATAGGCTCACATATGGCAGTGAGGTTGTCAGCCTTATGTACCAGCCATCCTTTACCCCCAGGAAAATTCCTGGTACTCATTTCTGTTAGAGGCTGAGTCGACCCCAGGGCCATTGTGTGGCTGGAAGGATTAGGTCAATTGAAAAATCCAATGACCTCATTGGAAATGAAACCCAGAACCTTCAGGCCTGTAGCATAGTGCCTCAACCAATGCGTGCCCAATAATTGATCCAGTAACAGTCTAAGAGTTGGGGTAATTGGAAGTTGCTCTCCCCATGCCAATACAGAATGTCCAACAATGAATAACACTATCTTAGGAATTAATGACACCAATGACTACTTTCATCAGATTGTCTGGATATTCCATGTGAAGTTGAGGTCTTTTGGGAGCGAAATTTCTCATTACCCAAAGTAACATTTAGGCTTGTTACAGCTGTGCTCGCAGACACAAAGAGACTAAAGCTATTGGTCATAATGTTTCAGGGAGATAGTGGTGGTGCTTTGGTGCTCAATAATGGTGACAGCTACTTGCAGATTGGAGTGGTGAGTTTTGTGTCCTCCCTTGGATGCGCCAGTGGTTACCCTTCAGGCTATGCCCGCGTCACATCGTTCCTGAACTGGATCTCTGACAACACTGGAATTAAGATTGATGAATAAGAAAAGCAGAGTGGCAAAATGACTAAGAAATACAATATTGCTGATATTCAGTATTTATGAATATTAATATGGTCTGTCCAGAATGTAAAAGGTCTGATTCTGTGTTTTCTTCCTGTTAAGATGTGTCAGGAAGTGGCATGGAAATAAATACACAGAAAACGTTTATGCTAAACCCCCACAATTTTTTACTTGAATGATAAGATTGTTACCAACTAAGATTTTCAGTACATCTACAGAGATTCTATAGTGTGTTTATGATGGTGTATAACACTCGGAATTACTGGGTTTTGGGGCTTTTTCCATCATCCAATGTTCTCTAGATATTTTAGAATAACATACCATGGAAAAAGTCTGAAAACCCACTAATTCTGAATCTGCAGAGATGTTCATAGAGACAGATCGCTTTAAGAATTTAATTTATATACGTATCATTACGTATTTAGTAATTTGGTCCATAATAATACCATTTTCATAAAAAACAGGAACAGAACTAGTGATATCTTTAATTACTGCTTCCATCTTCAGAGCTGTAAGGCTAGCAGATAAATGCAGCATATGCCTCTGAAACATTGGTACTCACCTGCCAGACTACATGGCATCATACCTTAGAAGACTATAATATATGTAATTTCATGAATTTATTCATCTCCTAATTTCATTATGAATATCAATTATACCTTCTTTTCTACCCTGAGATGGAGGCAGTAGGTTCCTCTGAAATGTTGGTACCTGTCCACCAGACTACATGATGTCACATTCCAAAAGACAGTAATCTTCACATTCATGCCATGAGAACCATAAATCTCTCAAAGACTACTTACTTAGAGGAAGTGATGCTCTGTAGACCAGTGCATCTCCTACTTCCCCACTAACCTATTCTTTACCTGATATATGCAGCAAAGTTCTAGATATATCAAGTTACACTTCAGAACAGTTAAAGGTTGTGCAGTAGTGTAGTTGGTAGAGGCACTATGCTACAAGCCGGAAGGTCGCGGGTTCAAGTCCCGATGAGGTCATTGGGTTTTCAGTTGACCTAATCCTTCCAGCTGCACTATGGCCCTAGTGTTGACTCAGCCTCTAACAGAAATGAGTACCAGGAATTAATCAAATAATTTCCTTGGGAGTAAAGCGCAGCCAGTGTGTACGGCTGACAACCTTACCACCATCTTTGAGCTGACTGTCTAGATAATGTGGGACCCTCAACGTCTCACAACCTTATGGGCCTTCATGGCCTGTTACAGGTATAGCTTTACCTTTTTTTTCCCCCCTTCTTCTTCTTCTTCTTCTTCTTCTTCTTCTTCTTCTTCCTCCCCCCCAGACTAGACCATACTGAGGATGATAATATTATGAAAGGAGTGAAATTACAATCAGTGTAAAATAAAACAGATGGCCACAGACAAAAGTGGATAAATATGAATACAATGACTCATGAAATAATATCAAAACATATTCTGCAGTATAAACTAAAATGATGCAAAAAAGACTGGGGAGGAACTTGTGAAAGGTAGAATGTGTATGTGAAGTTGGAACAGGCTTTTAGAAGGTGAAGATAAAAATAACTGTAAAGTTGTCCCTGTACATAATTATGAGTAATTAAGCACCATGCTATTATGATGAATGGGGGAGTATAGCTCCACCAATCTTGGACCTCCACACTAAATAGAGGTGAGTGATAAGCTTCATGCCCCAACCACTTTACTCCAAGGAAAGGGCCCCTGGTACCTATCAGATAGGATGCTGGGTAAGCCCTAGAGCCAGCCTCAAAGCTCCAGAGTAAAAAAAAAAAACTTGTCCCTGCCATCCAGGCTCTAGCCTCTTTCTATATTAACTTAGTTATCCCAGCTCATTTCAAAACATTTCTTTTTCTCACGTCTGCAACTGTCATCTTAGAGGATTCCTAGTAGCAGACAGTATTATGGAACCATGGCTTATGCAGAGGATTGGCCACTTCCAATTGTAGCATCTTGAATCAAAACACTGAACTATTTGCTATGATGGTTAAGAGGCTGCAGCATCTATACACTTCCTTAATTATCATTGCTAACCATAATTATGGTGATAATGATAAAGTTAACCATGTTAGGTGGATCCCTTGTCACCACGGCATGGCGCGTCCTCAGGTTGCAGAAAGAGATTCCCTCCAGATATGGAAGGTGGCTGCAAATATAGTGAAGCAGTCACAGACAGCCAACAAGGGGTTGTCCTCCAGCTTGGGAGGTTGGGTGTGGAGCTAACAACCTCTCACTGTGAAAAATAAGCTTGTTATGAAAGACCACAAGAAGCCTCAGACCTGGACGGATTCCTTGGATAAACGACCTAAGCAAAAGAAAATGGATATGAGATTTGGTACTTAGAATGTTAGAATATAGGGCAGGTTTGCTCAGGGCAGTGGCAGAAGAAATCTCAGAATAAAAGTTAGATTTAGTGGGAGTACAGGAGGTCAGATGGGACAGAGACAAATATACATTTTTCTATGGAAATGGGAATGAAAATCATGAATTTGGTACAGGTTTCTTTGTACATAAGAAAATCATATCAGCAGTTAAGAGGGCAGATGTCGTATGTAATACTAAGAGGTCACTGGTGTGATATTGTTCTGAATCTTCATGCCCCAACAAAGAACAAAATTGATGATATGAAGGACAGGATCTATAAAGAAGAAGAACATGTATTTGATAAATTCCCCAAATACCATATGAAAATATTGTTAATTTCAATGCCAAAGTAGGTAGGGAAGACATTGTCAAACCAACAATTGGGAATGAGAGTTTACATGAAATTAGTAATGATAATGGAGTTAGAGTAGTAAACTTTGCAACATCAAAAAACATCTTACTGTCAAAAGTACAATGTTACCACATCGTAACATCCATAAATTTACTTGGACATCTAATGGTAAGATGCACAACCAAATTGACCATATTTTGACAGACAGGAGATGGCATTCAAGTATACTTGGATGTCCAATCATTCAGGGCAGCAGATTGTGATACTAACCACCATCTGCTGGTGGCAAAAGTTAGGGAGACACTAGCAGTGAGTAAACAAACAGAACTAAATTTTATCTAATATTCTTTTCTCGAGGTTAAGACCATGGATAGATGAAATTATTGGAGATCATCAGTGTGGGTTTCGGCACTACAGATGAACCACGATAAAATCTTTGCATTTGCCAGATACTGGAGAAGAAATGGGAGTACAATGAGACAAAAAAAGAAGTTTGCAGGGACCAAATTCAGAGAGTAGGGCAGTTGGGGGACAACAGCCGTCTTGTGCTTCACAAAAAATTCATGGATGAGGAGCAACGTGTGAGCAGGTGCAATGTCATGGTGCAGCATCCAGGTCTTGTTTCTCCACCCCTCAGGCCCCTTCCTTTGCTCTGCCTCCCTCAAACGCTTCATGACCTCGAAGTAAAACTGTCCATTGACTGTCTGACCACGTGGAACAAACTCAGGATGAACGCCCTTCCCATAAAAAACAATCAACAACACCTTCTCATTTGATTGACTCTGACATGCTTTTTTTTTTTTGGTCATGCAGACGATTCATCTTTTGTTTCAATATCGCACCCGTACACCCACTTTTCATCACCTGTTACATTTTTCAGAAAGTTTTCATCGGCATTTGAACAATCAAACAACTCCTGACTGATGGTGGCACGGTTCGCTTTTTGCTCATCTATCAAAAGATGTGGCACAAATTTTGCAGCAACACAACGCATCTCCAGTTTTTTGGTCAAAATTGTGTGGCACAAACTTTTACTGATGCCTACTTCTTCAGAAACTTCACGGACAATTAGGCAGCGATTTTCACGAATCACAGCACTCACTTTCTCAACATGATCATCACCCGTTGACGTTGAAGGCCATCCAGGTTTGGGATCGTCTTCGGTGGACGTTCCACCCAGGCAGATTGGGCAGGTGGCAGGTTAAGGCTAAAGGTCACCGCTACACAGTGCCACTGTCGCGAGTCACCTGTGTTGGCGCCCCATTTAACAAGTTCAGTTTCTTTGGACAGACCACGTATCTTCTAAAATTTTAAGTCTAAGAAGAAAACGAAAAGAGTACTGAGTGAAAAGCTTATTTTGACCTGTTTCATAGAAATATGGGTACATTAACCACAAAGTGCCTAAATTATATCCAAAACAAACATCTCCTGAAGCGAATTTACTGGGCCGTGGTCTCGCAGAGGTTGCGAACCACTGTCCTAAAGCACTACTCGGAGAGAAAACTGGAAATTAACTAGAACATTATTCTGTTGGTCCTTTCCATATGCAATTAGGAAATGGTTGAAAAAATATTCACAAAAACTTCTATCCTGATCCCAGAATCTGAGATGGAGAAAGCAGCACTGCTGAAACTGACAGGCATGTCCAAAGTAATAAACCCAAATATTTACAATCAGACTGCATGCAATTTCATTTTTACTTTCATGACACTTTGAGGGCATAATCAAGGAAAATAAAATGTAACAAAGGAAAATCAGTTATTTAAACATATGGGGAATAAAAACTGCAACCAAGGTGGTCAAAACGAATTCATAATACTGAACCAAGAGTCATACCACGTTATACTTAAGGAACCACTGCCTTAGAACAAACATCACGTTTTCCCAGTGTGATAAATAAGACAGTTTGAGTGTTTGGCCTTCAAAACTGAACATCTTTTGAGTTACTACGTCAACATTATGTCAACTAGTAGATTCCAAAGGTTTCTGACAATGGTGTATAACATTCAGAATAACTCGGTTTTTGGACTCTGCCCATTGTCGGTATTCTAAACTCTACACTACTCTGTTGGGTCCCTTAGAAAGAACTAACCTCAATCAGTGGATCTGTTTCTGTCCTCAGGTGAAGGGGGAGACACCTACTTTGTTGGGTCCCTTAGAAAGAGCTAACCTCAATCAGTGGATTTGTTTCTGTCCTCAGGTGAAGGGGGAGACACCTACTTTGTTGGGTCCCTTAGAAAGAGCTAACCTCAATCAGTGGATCTGTTTCTGTCCTCAGGTGAGGGGGGGAGACGCCTACTCTGTTGGGTCCCTTAGAAAGAGCTAACCTCAATCAGTGGATCTGTTTCTGTCCTCAGGTGAAGGGGGAGACACTTACTTTGTTGGGTCCCTTAGAAAGAGCCAGTCTCAATCAGTGGATCTGTTTCTGTCCTCAGGTGAGGGGGAGATGCCTACTCTGTTGGGTCCCTTAGAAAGAGCTAGCCTCAATCAGTGGATCTGTTTCTGTCCTCAGGTGAGGGGGGAGACGCCTACTCTGTTGGGTCCCTTAGAAAGAACTAACCTCCACTGACTGAGATTAGCTCTTTCTGAGGAACCCAAAACAGTGTCTCCCCCCCTCACCTGAGGATAGAAACAGATCCAGTTTCTGAAATGTTGTGTTCTCTAAGTCTTACAATACTGGACAATGGACAGTCCAAACACCTAGTAATTCTGATTATGTTAACTGAATCTCAATGCAAAACAATGTCTGTTCTTCCACTGCATAATAAAGGCAAAGGCAAAACTGTCCCTGCAAGCACCACACAATTAAGACAGGTGGAGGAGTAGAGGTAGTGTTCCATATATTCTTACCCTTGGCATAAGATGCTGGTGATCCAGATTCATGCCCCAGGAAAAGAGCCCCTAGTACCCAGTGGACTGGAACAACTTCTACCCTCCCTAAGCTCTAAGGCTGCTGCTGGGTTCACTGTGTCAATGATCTTGAAATGGTGCCCTTCAGAGAGCCCTGACCATTTTACAGCCAAAACCATCCTCAAAGAGGCCCACCTTATATACAAGCAAAAAACTCCTATTCTATCCCTAGGAACTGAAAAGGAATGTGGTACAAGAATTCATCTCCCTGTCCACATTTCCCACACATGCTACTTTCCAAGAGACCCATAATATGTACATTCTCCTTCAGCATACAGAAGCCAATCAACATTCTAGCTGCAGCCAATGGGCCTCTTGGCAGTTTATCCAAAACCCTCCACAGAGGGTCTCCAAATGCCTCACACCCAGTATAGCAGCCCATGTCGGTGTGACCCTCACTCCACCACTTCTTAATCTCAGCACACAGTCAGACTGAAATATACCGGTCTGATAGGAAGCTAGGTGGGCCCCAGAGCCAGTCCAGACACTGTGAAGGGGAGGAAAATCTATTGACCCTGCTGGGAATTGAACACATATTCCTCAGTTGTCCAGCCTGTAGTCTAGTCACTATACTGATTACATAATTAGTGGTATTTGGCCATCAACACAGCAATGAAAATAAGCCAATCGAACTGCTCGCATTGGTTTTATTTGATAGTTTCTACATGTTTCGGTCCACATTTGATGAGCAGTACTAATATGGATCCATATTAGGACAGTTCAGTAACAGGAGACACAAGACTGCTTGAAGATGGTCACATACATGGACCGAAAGATGTACCAACTATCAAATAAAACCAATGTGAGCAGCTCGACTGGTTTATTTTTATTGTTGTGTTGATGGCCACACACCACTAATCATGTCATACAACAGGATGCAAACAGTGAAGATGATTACATAATAAATTATTCCTAAATGTATGACAATGAGATGCAACTTGGTTCTATACAAGATCATCAGAAGCCATTCTGATCATCCTCATCCTTAGGTCTTCACACTTTTTGGCGAGTTACTTTACAACAGCTGTCAGTATACATAGCATTACCAGGCAGATGACAAATGAGGGACGAACTGAAAAGGACTTGGATGGAGGCCATCCTGGTGTGAGTAAGGAAAATTGTGGGGGGGGGGAAACCCTGTCAGGATAGCCAGTGCACCAGCCAAGACCTGGGCCAAGCACATCCAAAAATCTGAGCTCAGAGCACTGCCACTGTGTCAATCTCTTCAGTCTTGGATTTTCACAGTTTTTGTATCTAATGTGCAACTCTCGCTTTGAGTACATTGAAGCTGTTCCTACATTTCAGCATACATCAAGGCTGCACAAAATGTAACAAAATGGTGAAACACTGCAACATATGACAGGGCTAAACCCAAAGCCAAAATTATTCACTCTGATAAGTTTTAGAGTAATTACACAAGATATACTATATTGAAGTCCAGAAATAAGACAGTATCACAGGAAGGTTTATTTGCAATGGGTTGGCCTCCTGTAAACATAACACACTTAATTAATATAAATGCTAAGGTAAAATCCTCAGCATGATGCTGAGGAAAAAAATAATATTTTTATTATTTATTTGAAAACGTCTGTAAAATGTAACAAGACGATGACAACTTTACACATTACAGAATAATGTTTTGATGAAGGATAAACTCTGCATATATATATATATATATATGTATATAATTTGCTTTACACAACACAAGTAAAGAAAGAAATACAAAAGAAATAGGGATTGGACAATGTAGGTCTCATAAGGAGCCATTACATTCAACATCATCTGCTCCCATAGGCATTTCAAAATAATACAAATTTCATATTCTGGTCTTCCTCTCACCAGATCTGTGTCAAGTTACATCATCAAATACTAAAATGAACGTTCTTTCAACACTTATAAGGAATATTTATCTTCTGTACACACTAAAATCTCTTTTGTAATTAAGAAAAATCTGATGACACTGCTGAATTCCACACACGCATTCATTCATATTCATTCATACCTGTTTCCACTTTTATATTCTTGTAATTCGGGGTTATTAGCATTCTCTTGCTGTGATAACTGTACGTAGGAAACATTTACCACTTCTGCGCTGCAATTATGGTACATAGCTCGTCTACAGTGTTGCTGAAAGAGAGGATTTATATAGGTGGGAGACGAATCCTACTTACAAAGCCACATTAACAAAACTTCATGATTCTTTATGCTCAAAAAGGAAAGAAAGTTTCCTCTGAAATCTACAAAAACAGTTTCTTACACACACAGTAAATATCACAAGTTATGCATTTAGTTCTGCGGTTAACTCATGATGTCAGTTTCAAAGTCATTCATATTTATGACGCCACCTTGTTCTGCGACTGCTGTTCCATCTTGTCAATTTCAGCCCACGATGTCCGAACAGATCGAAACAGCTGCAAAATAAAATAATTTTATTAATTCCACTTCTTTTCAAACTCTTGACTTGAATGACAACATTTTATATCAACTAGAAGATGGTTTATCAAACTGTGGGTCATGAACCCTGATGGGGTCCACACAACATACTGTAAGATTTAAAACATATGCATAGTTCTGGTAAGTCAGAATGCAAGATTTAATACAGTGGCATTTGGAATATGTGGCTGCAGCTAGCAAAACATTTCACAGACTTCCCCCCACCCCCCATATCTTAACACACAATAAACAGCTTATTGTAGGTGCAGAGGGGTTGTAGAGCCACAACAATCTACACACCTATACTTTTCACTGACTGGAATCAGATCAGTTAAGTTTCTAATTATTTTGGGGGAGGAGTGGTGTCAGAAAGTTTGAGAACCACTGCCTCAAGAAGCTACTTCGAATTACTATTATCAATAACAGTTGTATCTTCTAGGCACAGTTCACACTCCCAAAGGCCTACTCCCGGTCCTTATTCTGACACAGACAAATCTGCTCAACTTCTACAATATGCTAAGAGATGTTTCTATTTTTTAATTTATGCTTTTATTTTATTTTTCAGCCTACTTTCCTTAACCTAAAAAATAAAAGGAGACTTATGAAATCACCTTGCTATCTGTTGTCTGTGCCCCCTCCACACAACCCTAAAAGCCAGAAGAGATGGCCACTGCTACGAAACAGTTCAGTAAACATGTTCCCATGGCACTGAATACAAGCGCAACACTAAAACTGTGAGATGTGGTGTTTTGTTTCCTATGCAGCCATGACATATCCAATACTCAATGTAGACAACTGGTTACCAGAACTTCTCAATTTTAAGATTAGTGGTGATGGATGGGAACCCAGAAGCTTCTGAATACTAGGCTCTCTGCTACAGTACTGACATACTACAGTCAGGAGGATTTCTTTTGGCCAGTCACGATCATTCTTTCACCTGACACTACTGATCTGAAGGGCCACATTGCTACAAGCAATCTCAGGGAGCAGAAAAAAGTGGTAGGGCAGGTGAAGGGGTGATACCCTTCACTAGCAAAAGAAGTCTCCAGCTACTACATAGTATTCAAAAGTTCCTCAGCTGATCCCAACTGTCATCACAGATTTTCATTTCATGCATCCTGTTGCGTTATAATATACAATTTCTTTATTAAAACTGTCACAACATAACTTCATTAAGGACACAAAATCAGAAAAACCAACAACTCGCTCAATGATGTAAAGCATCACTCGAAGAATTTTATTCTTGTTTTATAACTTCTTTCTTCCCCCCCCCTGGCACTACAGCCCCAGTGGGCCTAGACCTACCTCCATGAACTCTGTTCACTTCAGTTTTTCTAGATCTTACACATATGGTAGGACTCCTTGGGCGAGTGATCAGCTCGTCGCAAGGCCGCTACCTGTAGACAAACACAGAAAAACGCACACACACATCCATGCTGTGAGTGGGATTTGAACCCATGATCCCGGCTTCCGAGCCTTAGACCTCTCAGCTAAACTTTTGTTTTATATAGTATAATTTGTATTTTATTTTTACACCAAGTATTTTAATATCATTAATATTATTGTATCCAATTTTACTAGTACTGCAGTTCAGTGGTGTATATGTTAGCCACATATCTGCCTGATGATAGCTTTTAATAGCTGAAACATGTAGCAGAGCCAACTTGGCACTGACCTTAATATAGTTGTGTTGTGACAGTTTCAATAAAGAAATTGTCATTACAGATTTGAACATATTGTGACATGTTGCGCAATGGAGGACAAACCCTCCCTCCCCCAG